GTGTTCTTAGAGTGTTCGAACTGGAAGTTTGGAGAGTTCAAACTCGAAGTTTAAGGTTGAACATGTGTGACCTTGAACTCGAAGTTTTGTTCCACTTTCTGTTCCCGAACTTTAGTTCCCCAAAAATCTATGTAGCACTTGGCTACAGTCGTCAAATGAGGCAGCGCTACACCGGAATGCGACTGGCACAGCTACGGTCGCCTCGTGTGGGCAAAGCAATGTTCTCCACGCTACAACTTGGCTGGAAAGTCGAATGGCCGCCGAGCTCCCTAAAGATTCTAGTTGCCAAGCAGCCGACTTCTCCAGAGGGCGGCTAACTGGAGACGCTGAGATTCGCCCTGCGCAGTGGCTTTGAGCTTTCTTACTTTTGTCTGCGAAGGTTGGACGCAGCTGTAGTGTATGTCTTGGTCCATCGTGTAACATCTTTGCCGATCTGCCAAGGAGGGCACTCGGAGTTGTCTGTGTGGTAAATGGCGGTGCAATAGCATATGGAGTGTTTCCCAAGCGCCTTTCGGGCACGTGGAGCCTGTGTGGAGAACGTCAGATGAAACTGTGGCTTTCTAACGGCGGTTGCGTTGCCCTCCTGCAATACGAGCTTCAGAAACCTTACGGCTTCCAGTCTGGGGCCTTCATTCGATTCCCACCGAACATCCACCGATGAGGGCTTTTGCATGTGTCGCTGCCACAAGGTTGCGTTGGAAGGGCAGCCAAATGCCTGGAGTTGCGTGGCCTCCTGCTTGACCAGATATGAGCAGCGTTTTTTTTTTTTTGCTATGTTGGAGTTTATATAAACCAGAATATCCGACATGATCCAACATCGTGCGCGTAGCACATTCTCCTTGGGCGCGTAGATGCGCGTGGGCCTTGTGTAGGCTGACCTGTAGCGTAGGCTGCGTCAGGACACGTGGGGCCATGCAACACAATAGTTCCAGTTTCCATAAGTAGTTTCGCTACAGGCCTCGAGGTGGTCCAAAATCGGATGTAGTGGATTGCGCTTCGCGTAGGCACGGCGTAGTCCTTGCGTAGGCTGCGCTTAGCCTTGGGAGTCGCTCCCTTCATCATTTATGTTGACCTCCTTACTTGGATTTCCGGGTCTAGACTTGCGGCTGCTGGATTGAGATCTTTGCCGGATGTTTCTTCGATTTTTCAGAACATACGTAAAGGCTTCGACGCTTTGGAAGAGAAGTCCTCCTACAGTAGGCCTCCGTAGCGCGTAGGCTTGCGTGGGCCATCATAGCTCGAGATATCTCTGCGTAGGTAGCTTTCCGCATGGTGGGCCTTGATAGCGCGTAGAGTGGCGTAGCCCAGCGTAGGCTCCGTATGGATAAGAACCGCCCATACAATAAAAAACACAGCTCATATGACGTGGCGTTTGAACTCGGGGTTCAAACACTGGTGAGTTCCTTCTCTTTTTCTTTTCTTCGCAAAAAGCCCCCATAAAGCGATTTCGTGTGGCTTCTCTTCTTTTGTGTTTGTTCCTTCTCTTCTTCTTTTCTTCGCAAAAAACCACCATAAAGCGATTTCGTGTGGCTTCTCTTCTTTTTGTGTTTGTAAAAGCGTTTTATAGACCAGTGTTCGAACACGAGTGTTCGAACTGGAGGTTAGAACGTGTTTGAACTCCGGGTTCGAACATTGGTGTTCGAGCTCGAGGTTCGAACACCAGTGTTCGAGCCTGGGGTTCGAACACCAGTGTTCGAGCCTGGGGTTCGAACACCACAGTGTTTGAACTCGGGGTTCAAACACTGGTGAATGTTCCTTCTCTCTTTTTCTTTTCTTGCCAAAAACCCCCATAAAGCGATTTCGTGTGGCTTCTCTTCTTTTGTGTTCGTAAAAGCGTTTTATAGACCAGTGCTCGAACCCGGAAATCGAACACCAGTGTTCGAACTTGAGGGTGACACTGGTGTTCGAACTTGGGGTTCAAACACCAGTGTTCGAACTCGGAGTTTTTTGAACAGGTTCCAGGTGTTCGAACTTGGGGTTCAACCCTAAGTTCTAGTGTTATGTTCTCCGCCCCCCCCCCCCCCCCCCCCCCCCCCCCCGGGCCCTCCCAAGTGTTCGAACCCAGGGTTCCGGAACACTGCAAAAACCTATGCTCAGCTGAGTGTCCGGTGCCCTTGGCATAAAATGAGACCCAAATCCACTCCTCCACCCTGAAGGTGCTCTCTAGCGGCGGAGTCCCGTTCCCCTGGCAGCATATAGTTTGGCTTGTAAGAAGTAACGAACTTAGAGCAAACAGAGAAGGCCCTTCCAAGCATCCCAGAGAACAGCTTCGGAATTGGCTCCGTAATTCGAGCGGTCTTTTGGCCCACTCAAAAGAGTGGAGTTGCCGCAGGAGTGTAGAACGTCCTTCGTGAATGAATGTCCTTTCCTCGTCTGGCCTGTTGCTAGGAGACTTTGTCTGCCGTGGCCCGCTTGCGACAGGAGCGTCAGGATGCAAAGGTGTGGTATTGTTTGCGTGTCTGCAAGATGTCTTGATTAGGTAGAAGTGTGCAGAGTCGCTAAGATCCTGAAACCAGAGCAAAGAAGACTTCGCGAGGCATGGTTTTGTCTGCTGCCCCGTAGAATGTAGGTGTTTGAACTTGCCCATGCCAAGACAGCGGCTTTCTGAATCGCAGTAGTCGTTTCCTACACGATGGCACGAATGTTTTAACGCGCATTGAGACCGGCACTGAGAGTGATCAGCGGTCAGTGAGCTTCGCTGTCGCCTCCCTGGTGTTGAACTGTTGCCCCAGCGCGAGTATCTGTTGAGCAGTGACTAAGCTCTGTGCGTGAGTCAGTGAGTGTGAGTGAGTGAGCTTTGCTGTGACGAACGGTTGCCTGCAGCGCGTAAATTCTTCTTCGCTGTCGGGTGAGCAGTGACCAAGCTTCGCTGCTCTTTCTTTTCCAAGGTTACGGTTTACGGCTTTGAGGCCGGCGCTGAGAGTGATCAGCGGTGCGACCTTGCTGCGACCCGAACTGTTGCGTGAGCAGCTAGTAACTTCTTCGTCTTCGGTTGGGTGTGAGTCTTGTTGTGACCCGAACTGTTGCGTCAGTTACTAAACTTTTCGGTTCAGCACTGTGCAAGCCTTGTCTGAGGCACGGCACGAATGTTTTACGGGCTTTGAGCCCGGCACTACAAGCGATGACGCTGCGGAGGGGTTTGCCATTTGGCAATGAGGTCTGCCATCTGAGCCGGTGAATGTATGAGCATTGCCCAAACTGCTGCCTGAGCAGCTTGTAAATTTTTCGGCTAGTCAGTGACGAAGCCTTGCTTTGACGCAATCCCAGCATTCTTCTTCTGAAGGCCACCAAAACGTGGTTGCATTGCGGTGTAGTGAAGGGTTTAGGATGAGTAGGTGAGCCTTGCTGTAGTCCATGTGGGCAGCCAAAACTCTACGTCCCAACATTCTTTTTCTGAAGGCTACCAAAACGTGGTTGCATTGCTAGTGCAGGGTTTAGGATGAGTAGGTGAGCCTTGCTGTAGTCCATGTGGGCAGCCAAAACTCTTGGTTGACATTTAGCAGGTTTTCCGAATGCACGAATGTGAGCCCGTCATATCATGCTCATTCGCAAGTGCTTCTGAAATGTTGAGCCTGTTGCAAGGTCGAAGCTGAGCGCCGTAGGCTTGTACGTAGAGCAACACGCAGCATGGGAAATCTGGATCCGAAACTGTCCGCTTGCAGAAAGCTAGGACAGGCAGACTCTACTGATCCGCCGCAGTTTGATTCGAGATTATATGCTGCAGGGTGTGAGGATACAGACGAGGGAACCTGAACGAGCCCAGCGGTGGCGGCGGGCAAATGATTTCACCCTTAGGACAAAGCCGGTGGTATAATACTCAGCTGCCAACTGAGTTTGATTGACTCCGGCATGTCTGGGACCTTCCGCCGTTCTAATAGTGTTATACTACCCAAAGGGTGTGTAAGTGGGTTCCCTTGGTTTTTGCAGCAGATGGGGTGGGTTCCCTGTGGGTTCCCTTGTTTTTTGCAACACTTCAGGTGGGCTACATATGGGTTCCCTTGTTTTTTGCAGCATTTCGGGTGGGTCTGTGTCTGTTCTTGTTCGTTTGTAACCTAGTGCACGTAGTCCCAAGTAGAGTGTGTAGAGTAATCACAGGAACACATGAAACATGTGTGTGAACCGCGACACGAAGGCTTAAGCAAGTCAGCCCGCGAAGTGAGAAAAGTGTGTTTGCGAGTAGAGTGGGAAGGAAGGCTTGAGAAGCCTTTAGTTTCAACATGGTAGCGGAGCTCCCTGATTCAGACCTCTTGGGAGCGATGAAGCTATCACAAGAACAACAGGTAGCTGTCGCCATGGTTTCCTTGGCTTTGGCTTTTTCGCTGATGTGTCTGGCGAGAAGCTTTGTGAAAGAACTTGTGAGAAAGGAGACGGTGGAGCGCGTTGCTCCGGCTGAGGAAGAGCTACCAGAACTCTGGTACTCGCCTTACGGAGAGAAGACCCACGTTTCAGGAAGATGTCATGGCCTCAGGAACGCAACCAGTGTACACCGAGTACTACCATGCAAGTATTGCTGCCGGACTTCGATCCCGGGAACAACGCACCTTCGAGTACAAGAGAACCTTTTTGGAAGCAGCAGGAAAGTACCTTTGGCTAAAAGTCTTCATGGTTGTGGTTCTCATGGGCATGTCATGGTTCATGGTGTTTGAAGTGAACGAGACCTACGGCTACCCGTTGGCCGCGAACCGCATGTTGAACCACAGGAACAAGGTCCTCAGCCTCGACAACAAGAACCCCAAGAAGAAGCATGTGATAAAGACAACTTTCAATCGTGATTGATTAGTCTTTATTCTTGCCCAAAAACCTTTTGAAAATTTTTGGGTGCGAAAATTTTCTGTCTGCATGTCAATCGTTGTTTCGCCACACACTTTGTTCCCACGAAGCCTTCTTGGCTGAGGTGGGAGGTGGGAAACCCTAGCAACTTTCAAGGCCATATGGCTTGGTTTTGTTTTGTTGCTAGGGGTGTGTGTGTGAAGAAACCAAGTCAGCCTGCGAATTGAGCCATGGCTGACTCTGGCAGATCAAAGTTCCCACGGCTGGACGAGCCTACGAGCGACTTGGGGCGCTTGTATGAGCGGGCATTGAGTGAGGCAAGTGTGCAGCTTGCGGGTCAGGCTACCTTGAAGTTACCCTGGGAGAAGGGCATTTATGCCGAGATTTTCAGTGGTAGCGAGCTACCTAGGATGCCTACCTTACCTGTGCCTGCTACACTTCCAGTCGTAGATGTTGCAAGACCTGGGACCCAGCACAGCGAAGCCTTGAAGCAGACATCAGATCCTCTGCCAAAATTCGAGAGTGCAGTCTACAAGCACTGTCTGCATAAATCAACTATTGCTGCTGGCGGGAGACCCGGGACAGATCGAGATGCCGTCTACAGGCGCTGGCTTTGTATCTTGGGCCACAATCTTGCTGGCTCTAAGATTGGAGAGTACATTGCTGATGGTGCCGAAGACCCTCTTGTTTTGATTGCTGACACCTTTGGAGGGAAAAGTACGAGCACCTTGCTTAAGAGAGCCAGGTTTGTCGCCCGGATGCTTACGTGGGCGTCTGAGCATAGTCAGACGTTTTTTCCGCTGCGGCTTGGACCATTGCTTTCATTCATGCGCAGTTTGGCATCAGAGAGTGCCAAGGCCCAGTGTGGAGAGACAATCAATTTCCTTGTGCATGTCCTTGGTGTGTATGCCGATCTGGATATTTTGAAGCATCCTGTAATCCAAGGGCTTCTACGGGGGTCTCGGTCAACAGGGAAAGAGATCAAGCAGTCCAGGGTACTCACTGTCCGGGAAGTTATGGCGCTCGAAGATATGCTCAGTGATGCATCCCTTGATCCTGTTGATCGATATGGTGCAGGAGTTTTTCTCTTCCAGATTTACAGCCGGGCACGAGTGTCCGACATCAGGAACATCCATCGCTTTGAGCTCGACCTGAGTGGAGATGACGGATACCTTGAGGCGAAAACGATGGACCACAAGAATGCGACCAGAGGACGTGGGCTGGGGCAGAGCTTGATTCTCGTTGCTCCGGTTCAGGGCCTGCGGGATAAGGCGTGGGGTATCCAGTTCATCGAGGTTGCAAAGATGGTTGGGTTCAACCTTCGACAGGGGCATCGTGACCTTTATTACCTAGACTTACTGCCGAGGGTCAGTGGTCAGGGGAGGCGATCGGGTCTGATGAGACTACATCGTGGCTCAACGGTCTGTTGAATCGCGCTATGAGTGAGCAGATTGCGTCAGGGCTAACATCCCATGGATTAAAGGCAACAACCCTTTCCTGGATGACGAAGGCCGGGTATCCCGAAAAGTCTTGCCTCATTTTGGGACATCACGCGAGAGCGGGGAAGAAAACTCTTTACACATACGGCAGAGACGTGCAAGCCAAACCATTACGTGAACTACAAGATTGCATTCGTCTCATCAAGCGTAATATGTTTGCTCCGGACTCGACTCGAAGTGGCATGTTCAAATCAGGCGAGAGCGGTCATGAATCAAAGGCTGAGGTTACAGATCCTCTCATTCTCGCTGCTGAACAGTTCCGGTTTGGCGATCCTGATGAAATCATTGACACTGGAGGCGATGTCGGCAGTGAACACGAGCCCTTGCTCGAGGAAGGAAAGCCGGCTGACAATTGTGATGCTGAGCCTGAGCAGGATGCTGAGGATTCCGACTCGAGTACCTCTAGTTCTTCAGGTTCCTCTGATGACCATGCCGAAGCTTATGAGAGTTTCGCCAGTGATGCTGCCCTTGATTGTGCTGTGCCCCACTTAAACAAAGAGGTGGACTTGGATGTTTTCCAGAACCCCAAAACTCTTTCCCTCCATACCCGGGCGAAGGGTTCCGATGGCCCACTTATGTGTGGCCGCAAAGCTGAGGGAATGAAGATTTTTACAAGTAGGGTATACAGCAAGTTTTGGATGTGTAAGCAGTGTGAGCAGGCTCGACCGCTCAGGGACACGAAAGCTGTCGTTGCATACCTGAGCAAAGTTGCCAATCCCAAGAGTGCAGGACCTAGTGGTCTTCATTGAGGATGGCGAGGGCTGTGGGCCAGCACAGCGCTTTGCGCGTGCACTCGCAGTTTTGGAGAACATGTGATGGGAAAGTTGCGCGAGGGCTCCGGGCCTGCATCGCACAGTGTGCCTGCGCTCGCGAACTTGTGCAAATCGGATTTGCGAAGGTTGGGCGAGGGCTTCGGGCCTGCACAGCACATTGTGCTTGCGCTCGCAGTTTACTATCGTCTACTTTGTGATGGGCTGGGCGAGGGCTTCGGGCCTGCACTGCACTTTGTGCCTGCACTCGCGAACTTGTGCAAACCGATGTGGTGGCTGAGAGTCTGCTTACCGTCGTGTGGTGGCTACGGGCCTGCACGTCGTCCTGAGGACGAGTGCAACCACATGACAGGAATCCTTGACTGGCGTGAGTACCGAATTGAGCCCAAAAGGTGTGTGGAACGTGGTGATGACACGTTGGTCACCCATGTGTGATTACGACTTGTGGGCAGCAGCGAGCTGAATGAATAGAGCCGTCTTATGCGCAAAAGACCAGCAGTAGTGTGTCGGCATGGCGGTTCCACTGACAGAGTCCAAGGCCGTGTTCTTGGAAAGATGTGAGACGGCCGGATTGCCAACGCCGATTCGGGACATCTTGGTTGGCAAGAATCTCAGTACCTTGGCAGGTCTCGCATTTGCAGCGGGGCAGCCGGGGGAAACACCGAGTGATGCAGCGCTTACCGGCCTGGCGAGATCCGGCACGGAGGAAGTTCCAATAGCGACCCTAGCCTCCTTGAGGCGGTTGGTGTTTGAAGCGCAGCTCCTCATGACCGCGCAGGTGAAGATGCTGATCGAGCATCGTGCCGATGACCAAAAGGCGGAATTAGCACCCGCAGAAAGATCGGAGCGAATCCAGAAGCAGAGCGAGCGCCTGGCCGGTGTTGCACTCCGCAACGAGTCAGAGTGCTCCTATGGGTCATACGATTTGGTCATGAAGATGGTCCAGGAGAACTGTGTCTCCTACTTGTCTCCAGCTAGGTTTCCGTCTCGGCAGGCCGAACTTCGTCTGGAGAAACCTCGAAAGGAGCTTGATGTGGTCAACTCAAAAATCACTTTGAAGGACCAGGCAGTCGATCTTCAATGCCAGCTTCACACGCCGCTGTGCCTGCATCATGCTCTTCATCGACGGGCACTTGCAATGGATCTCGTTGGGGTAGCCAGCTACAGTGTGAGCATGGAATTTCACGAGTACTTGATGTCACACCTTACCATGGAGCCACCGCCTGGCTATCATCAAGTCACACTGCATCAGGTTCTAGCAGCTGACCGAGCCGCTTGGTTGCGACTCGCGGAGAAACTTCCTAAAGGGCTTCGTGCTGGTCCCGATGGGAAACTCCCGCTGGATATCGAGCTCCCGAAATTGCAGGGCGACCCGAAAGTGGCTTTTCATCTCTTACCTCTGGGACCTTCTGCTTCATCATCCGGGAAGCGTTCGATGGATGGCGACCAGGGCCAGAACAACGATTCGAAGATCCAAAGGACTGGAGGCAAGGGTAAAGGGAAGGGCAAAACCAAAACTAAAGCCTTTCCTAAGTCTATGCCTGTGTCCCTCAAAGACAAGTGGTCGCGAACCAAACGCGGTGTTCCGATATGCTGGGCCTTCAACACGGAAGAGGGCTGTAGCTCAGCTCCAGCTGGAGGCAGATGCCCGAGGGGTGTCCACCTTTGCGCTGAACCTAACTGTCAAAAACCCCACTCGATCGTCAATCATGCAAAGGTTGCCAGTGGGTGAACTTTTCAGAACGCAGGTTGTGACTTGATTGAATCACTGGAGGTTTTCCTTAACCGGGCTAGGGCTCGGGTAACTGGCGTTTCGATCGAGGCACTCTTTGGGGTTGAAGTTTTTGCAGGGTCTGGTCGCTTGACTTGCGAGCTCCGCAGGCTGGGGCTTAATGATAGTATTGGTGTTGACAAGAATGTCGGCCGATGCTTGATCGCACCGGTGTTGCGTCTCGACCTTGGTGACGAGCAGGCTCGCGAGCTTGTCGTGCAAATGCTAGAAAATCCCAGTTGTGCCTACGTTCATGTTTCTCCCCCAGCCTTGAACCAGAAACATCGCAGTTTGAAGCACCATGATGGTGCCGATGCTTCATGCTATTCAGCCTCGTGTAGCTTGTTGTACGAGTTCTGCGGGAAGCTCTTTAGCATGTGCTGGTCCAAAGGCATTCTCTTTTCTTGCGAAAACCCTGGACAGTCAGAGCTGTGGCGAACGCCACAGTGGTGCAAGCATACGTTGTGTTTAAATTCCATTGATACTGTTTTTCACATGTGCATGTGGGGATCTCTCAGCCCTCGTTTCACACGCATTGTTCATTCTGTGCCTTCGCTAACGCAGCTGGGTGTTCGTTGTTGCGGTGTAAGTTCCAGCCACACGCATGAGTCCCGGAACGTGCTTCATGACTCCACATTCCCCCTAGATCTCAGTCGTGCGTGGGCAAATGCAATTGTGGAGCAACTTGTTGCTTTGGGCGCCCTGCCTCGTGCGCGCTCCTTGGATGAGTCTCGAGCTCCCCTACACCGTGAAGCCCAGGTGGCAGCAGCTTCACAGCCAACACGCAAGAAGGTACCTCCTCTTGTTAGTGAATTTCGCTGCGTGGCGACAATTGACACGCCCAAACCTTTTCTTGACACAGCTTCCAAGAAACTTGAGGGGCCAATTCCCATCCCTGCGGGTGCCAAGTGTGATACTACGTTGACCGTGCTACCGGCAGGTTCTCGCGTCATTCGCAGGCAGTTGCTGGGGGTGAGTTCGCCTGCTTTGAAGCTCGATGTAGGGTCGGAAACTAGCAATCCCACTAGCAGCCGTGTAGCTTCTGTTCCTGAAGTAAGCAAGCCCAGGCCTGATCGAGTGCAAGTGTGTTCTGAAGCCACTCATCCCGCAGAGGTTTTTGCTGCATCGTGCCTAAAGCTGGGGTATATCGACCCGGGAAAAATTTCCGAGTTCACTCAACTTCTTGAGTCGGAGCTTCCGGCCAGGGGGGATGGAGGTCAGCACGAATTTTCCTTCACGGTGGGATCCTTTGTTCATGGCGGTATTTATGGGCTTAGAACTTCTTCGGTTAACTTTCCGCTGACAACTCAGGTCCTTGCAAGGTTCATGCGCCAGCAGTGCCCAGACGCTGTTTTCACGAGCCTGGCTTTGATGAGGGATGTGCAAACAACATTACACATCGACACGAACAATTCATTACCCTACCTGAACACTGTGGCGAAGGTCACCAATTTCGAGGAAGGGGGTTTGTGGGTTCACAACGATCACGGCGACATGCCTTGCCCTGATGCAAATTTTGGGCAGCTGATGGGAACGAAGGTCGACTTCGAAAACGGAGTTATCAGGTTCGATTCGCATCTTAAGCATTGCACACTCCCGTGGGTCAAGGGGCCCCGTGTGGTTCTTATAGGGTTTGTCGTGAAGGGTCCCGAGTTGATGCCATCGGACTTAGTGAGTAACCTTGTTGCTTGTGAGTTCAACATGCCGGATGAACCCCTTGTGCAGCCTCTCCCCAACGAGGAACACTCCTCACCGGCAGGGCCCGAGGAGTCCCATTGGCATAGGGTTGTAGTAGGCATCCCATGGTTACCCGAAGAGTTCATCGGTAAAGCCCTGGAGGCTACGCACCCGAGGCACTTGATGACAGGCATCCCATCCGAACTAAAGTCCACAATCGATCAGCTTGTAACCCTTAGCCCATTTGAGGTTGGAGCCGAGAGGACGGCCCAGCTTAGGAAGTGGGTTGCGAGGGTACAGGAGGTTGAGCCGATGGAAAAGTTGATCAAGCAGCGGATGAGCGAATCTTGTGCAAAAGTCCTTCGGAGTAAACGCTTAGTGATCTTCAAAGAGATGCTTGAAGCCAGTGGTCACAAGGATGATTCGATAGTCGGCGACATTGCCGAAGGTTTCAAGCTTAGCGGTCCCATACCGCCATCTGGGGTTTACAGGTCAAAAAGAACTTCGGCGACCCTCACCACGGCGACACTGAGAAGATCAGCACAGGTTGGCTTTTCGGACCTGTGCCAGAGAAGGACCTCCCTTCTGAGGCAGTGGTTACCCGTAGATTCGGCATACGCCAAGGAGGAAAGTGCAGACCCATCGACAATTACTTGGAATCAGGTGTCAACGCGACAACTAGCGCTGCAGACACCATCACTGTCCACTCGGCCGATGTGCTCGCTGCCGCCTTGTCATACCGCATCCACAAGCTCCGCTCAAAGCGACTGTCAGCAAGCTTGTACTCCAGGTCGTGGGATCTTGCCAAAGCATACAAGAATCTTGCGCTCCACCCTGAATCAGTCCCTGATGCTTTCCTGGCCGTATGGAACCCACATACACATAAGACTGAGATCTATGGCCAACTGGTGTTGCCATTTGGTGCCAGATCCAGCGTACACTCTTTTTGCAGAACTTCGCTGGGGATTTGGAACATAGGGGTGGTGTTGTTCCTCCTGCACTGGGGGGTATACTTCGACGACTTCTTGGGATCCGAAACACCCCGCCTGTCCAAGCTGTTCGAACTCTGCGCAGACGGGTTGTTCCTGATATTGGGCTGGGCTACATCCTCTGACAAAGCTTCGGTTTTTGATTCCATTTCGATTGTACTTGGCCTGAAGATCAATCTCTCCGAATCTGGAATCGGCTTCGTTTACTTTGAGAATACCGAGAAGAGGCGAGATGAGCTGGTGTCCACCCTCGGCGATGTCCTTTCTGCGGGGTTCCTTAGCCGCAAGGATGGCGAGCGACTACGTGGCAGGCTACAGTTCGCAGAGCAGCAGATTTCTGGAAAAAAGGCTGGATTGGCCTTTAAGGAACTCTCGAGGCATGTGACGAAAGGGGGCGGCAAGTTGGTACCCGAAACCATGGCTGCCTTGACCACCCTTAAAAACCACATTGCTTGTGCTCCAGCTCGCTGCATTGCGGATCGATCGTGCTTTACCTGGCACCTCTATGTCGACGCTTCATACGATGATTCGCGGGCTGGTATTGGTGGCATCTTGATCTCAGAGTCGGGAGCCTACATTGGCCACTTCAGTGAATTCCTCGACGATGCAGCTTTGACATCCTTGAATACAACTGGGAGCGAGAATCCGATCTTCGAGTTGGAGTGTTTCGCTATCTGGTGTGGCATTTCCGCTTGGGCACGCTTGCTTCGCCACTGCCATCTTATTGTATTCACTGACAACGAGGGAGCTTTGCACTCGATGATCAATGGTCGCAGCGAGAATGATTCTGGTGGCCGTATCGTTTCTGCTACGCATAACCTACTTGACGAAGGTTGCATTGCTCCGTGGTTTGAACGTGTCAACACAGCTTCCAACATAGCTGATTTTCCTTCGCGGGGAGTCTCTAAAGAAGAGTGGGGAGCGAGAACTCCCATTGATTATGTGCGCCTCGCACGGGTGGCTGAAGCAGGGGGTGACGTGCCACCGTTCGAGGCTTTCAGCTCGGCGGTGTAATGTGTGTGTGGTGTGAGGTCCCACACGTGGGCTCAGTGGGGCACTGCCGCATTTTGCGGCGTGCCAACTTAGTGAATTCATCACCCCTTGACTTCGAGTATCGTCGTAAAAGATTGCCCGAGTGCGAGTGTTTGCACCATATTCATATGCAAAGATATTTGATTGACTTCCCGGCGATTCAATATATACTTTACGATTTCACATATTGATGTGAATATCTCCGTTTGCGATTTGATTGACATGCGCGGTTTTTGGGAACAAGAATAAGACAACTTTCAATCGTGATTGATTAGTCTTTATTCTTGCCCAAAAACCTTTTGAAAATTTTTGGGTGCGAAAATTTTCTGTCTGCATGTCAATCGTTGTTTCGCCACACACTTTGTTCCCACGAAGCCTTCTTGGCTGAGGTGGGAGGTGGGAAACCCTAGCAACTTTCAAGGCCATATGGCTTGGTTTTGTTTTGCCCACCCGCCCTCCCTTGGGGGTGACGTGCCACCGTTCGAGGCTTTCAGCTCGGCGGTGTAATGTGTGTGTGGTGTGAGGTCCCACACGTGGGCTCAGTGGGGCACTGCCGCATTTGCGGCGTGCCAACTTAGTGAATTCATCACCCCTTGACTTCGAGTATCGTCGTAAAAGATTGCCCGAGTGCGAGTGTTTGCACCATATTCATATGCAAAGATATTTGATTGACTTCCCGGCGATTCAATATATACTTTTACGATTTCACATATTGATGTGAATATCTCCGTTTGCGATTTGATTGACATGCGCGGTTTTTGGGAACAAGAATAAGGAGATTACCCCAGCGGATGTTGTACCTGCCGGGAAGAGCCAAGAAGGTGATCACACAGAACTTTTCACGTTGTGGTCGCATCTACATGAGCCCAATACCAAACCGAGAACGAGAACGAGATCAACGTCACGAGCTACCTCAAGAAGACGAACGCGTACTCCGAGTTCTACAAGAACAGAAGAAAAAGAACAAAGTTGCAACTACAGTTTTCATGAAGGTGATGTCGCGGACGGAGTATAACGAGAACCTAAAGAACGAAGAAGTGCCCCACGTGAACTACTACAAGAACCTTGTGTTTGAGTTGGTTTTGGAGTTTCAAGAGTACCTTTCGAAAGCAGGAAGAAGCCTTGAGCCCGTCGTGAGCTACGTCGTGCGCACGTGTCACCCAGTACTACTTCTACTTGGGACCCCGCTCGGTATGGTCACTTGGATCTACCTCTATTTTTGGGTCAGAGTTAAGCAAACAAAAAGAGAACATTTGAAGAAGAAGGTTTCGAGAAGGAAGTTGCGCAGGTCAGTTTGCAGCGTTCTTTTCGAGAAGCGAGTTTGGTTGCATGTTGTGTTGCTTTACAGTCACATGCAGAGTGCAGTTGCAATGGAGGAAGCCTTGCAAAGGCTTACGGACCTCACTGCCCAAAACACACAGCAGATACAAGCACTTGCCCAAGCAATGAGCAGTCAGCAAGTACAGGCAGGTACCGCTTCACAACAACTACAGGAACTCGCGCAGTCAGTTTCACAACAGCAGAGAGCAATTACGGAAGCAACCCAAGCAACCAACACAGCATTGTCACAACAAGCAGAGCTTACTGCAAACGCGGTTGCAGCAACAGGAAAGCTTACAGCAGACGCAGTTACAGCACTGTCGCAGCACGCAGAGTCAAGAAGGCCAGGAGAGATCGACCTCCACAAGATGATCAAATCTCCAGAAGTCTTTGGCCCTACTACATACAAGGAAGAGCGTGATGGTTTTCTAGAATTTCGGTTGAAGCTGAGAAGTTGGATAGGCGCTCTCAACAACGACATCCTTGAGAAGATCAACGCAGTCGAGATGGATAGAAGAGAAGCATCATGGGAATGGAGCAAACTTAACCCAGGTGAACAAGCACTTTCAAGAAAGCTACATTCCATTCTCACCAGCTATACACGTGGCCGTCCTCTACGAACTCTAAAACAAGTGCCCAACGAGAACGGTTTCGAAGCATGGAGGTTGTTGGTGGAGGAACATCAGCCTCACAACCGTGCACGTTCTCTACAACTACTTAACGGAGTTCTTCACTACAGGTTCGACAAGCAAAGGTCAACACAAGAAAATATCCTAAAGTTCGAGGAGTTGATTGAAGAGTACGAGAGAGCGAGTGGAGACCTTGTTGCGGATGATATGAAGATTTCCATCATTCTTGGAGGAACCGAAGGGAACATGAGACAACATCTTCTACTCAACCAGAAAGAGACCACAAAGTACGGAACACTACGACAGTACCTCCTCTCCTACGAGCAAGCAGCAAGGTGGACTACCGCAGACCTTATCAACTCAGGAAAGGACCACCAAGGACAAGCAGACATGGATGTCTCACGAGTGGAATGGTGGAAAGGCAAAGGAAAGGACAAAGGGAAAGGAAAGAAAGGAAAAGGATTTGGCAAGTACAAAGGCAAAGGCTTCGGCAAAGGAAAAGGAAAAGGAGAAAGCCAGTACTACTACAAAGGTCGAGGAAAAGGAAAAGGACGAGGAAAAGGAAAAGGAAAAGGCAGAGGCCGAGGATATGGCAAAGGCGGGGGAAAAGGCTACAGCAACAAAGGAAAAGGTAAAGGCTACAACAACCCAGGAATTGGTGTTTGCCATTACTGCCAAAAGCCTGGACACTACGAAGCCAATTGCAGACTCAAGCAGAGAGACATGCAGCAGAACGTCAGGAACGCACAGGAGGAAGACGAGCAAAGCGTCAGGACACAGCCTACTACAGTTCCAAGCAGTAACGCTTCAGCAGCCACAACAACAAGAACTACAAGCGCGAAGTCTACAGCTAAGCCAACAAGATCGCCATGTACCACATGGACGACGATCCCGTCATGTACCCTGAAGTTTTTGAACTTGATGAAGACGAAGAAGAGCTCGAGATTGAGTACTTTGGAAGAGTTTTGAGAGTGACGGAAGCGGAAGAGTTTGTTTTGTCAGAAGGAGAAGAGAGCGAAGAAGAGCAAGAAGATCCTCTACTAAACTGGTACCTTGGACGTGAAGCACTACCACCACAAGAAGTTCTCTCAGTACGCGTTGTAGAGGAAGAGTTTTTCCAGGAAAGTGATCTTCACCAAAGAATCGAAGTTATCCTGGATTCTGGCGCAGACGTTTCTCTTGTGCCCTCTTGGCTAGGAAGAGAAGGAACCCCTTTGAAGGTTCGCCCTTCGTCCATTCAGGACGCACAAGGAAAGGCAATAAAGACGGAAGGCAGAAGGATGCTGAACTTAACGTTCTTTGATGACGGCGGAAGCTTTTGTCGCATTCAGGAAGCCTTCACCTTTGCCTCGGTGATCAACCCGCTGATGGCCATAGGCAAGCTGTTTCGAGAAGGTTGGGAGTTGCGAGTTAATGAAGAAGAAGGTATGTGTCTTACAGATGGAAGCTCAAGAATACCAGTGCATCTCCACAAGAACAGCCTGGCAGCCTACGCTTACGTACAAACTCCTTCAAGAAGCAGAAGTTACAGCAGCAACAACTACAAGATGGTTCGCACAGTTGTTCAGCTTAACAAGCACGTTCAGGAAGCAGTGAACAAAGAAGAACCTGGTTGGCACAACACAGACAGCATGGTGATCGTGAAGTGTGCCACTCAAAGCAGCTATGAGAACCCATCTCTCATGTACAGCCCTACGCACTTTCCGTACAGAAGCACTTTGGTGAAAGAAGAGAGAGGATGGAGAGCAGTTGAAGTTTCAAGAAGGCGATTTCGCGGAGCGACTAAGTTGTCTTTTCTGTTTTCATAGCTGCCGGTGCAGCAGCGCAATGATTAATTATTTATCGTTTTGCTTCCGGCATGCTTTCATGATGTGAGCTTTTGACTCACTCTTTTCAGGCATGTTTTTGGATTCATTTTGAAAAGTAGTCGGACGCGCTTTTTAAGTATGTGGACTACTTTTCAATGTTGATTGAAGTTTAACTCATGCGTGATCACCCGCGCCGCTTCACACAGCATGGCTCGTCGCACATGTGCAACATGACATCGAATCAGCTCATGAGCTACGGAGCTTGAGCATGCACTGTGCAGCAGAGCTTTGCTAAAAATTTCACCTCTCCACTCGTCCGGGGGGGAAGCTTTTGCCCCGAAAGGGGGGTACATGGACTTGGCTCCTGGCCATAGCATCGAGGAGGCCGTTGAGCTTCTGCGAGCTGCAGACTTCCGTCTGTTCTGCATTGAGCGTCGTGTGTCCAATCTTGAAACGCAGATTTCTGAGCTGCGTGAAGTGCAATCGCGGCTTAACGCTACAGTGCTTCGTGTGGAGGCGCTGGAACAAGACAACGCAGTAATCAAGCATTGCTTTTCTTCGACACAGCCAGGGGTCAGTCTTCGATCTGAAGTAGCATCTCTTAACAACGTGGTTACCCAGATTGTGGACTCAGTCAATCGCTTGGAGCCTGAGTTACAGCTTCTCTTGCGTTGGCGGGAGCGCTTCACTTCAGCTTTGCAGGCCGAGCTTAAGGACTTAGGTCACCAGCTTTGCGTGGTAGCATCGCAGCTCGAGGTCTCCCGCCTCGACGAACTAGACTAGTGTGTGCGACCAGTCATGACGAAACGAGGCCTTGATGATCTTAGCGATCTAATCTCGCATACACAATTGTGTGACTCCCGCTCCGGATGCATTCAGATGCCTTGGGATCAGGGGGTTTTTGGTCTAGTCTTTGGGTCCCCTAGGCCTCCTGCACCCTTGGTTCCCCTCCCAAGCCCACCGCCTCAGCTTACTGCCGGTGTCAGTTCGGCGATACAGCAGGCTCCGCAAGATGCTCTGCCCTCGGCCACTCAGGCCTTTGCTCGGCAGCGGGCTCGTTTTGCTGCGCTGATTCGGTCAGATGATTCTGTGCGCTTTGAGGCTTTACGTAAGATTAAGACCCTGACTTTACTTGATCCTGCTGCATCGGAGCTGGGGCGGCTTCTCATCGGCGAGGCCGCTATTTTGTCTGACCCTGAGAGACTTCAGAAGTCCTTTGCTGACACGTTCGCTACAAAGAGCACTGCAACCTTGGCCAAACGAGCTTCCTCCTTCTGGAAGTTTGCCGAGTTTTGCTTGATGTTCGATTTTGGCTCGCCCTTTCGCGCGAGCGAGGCAGCTGTCTATGCATATATCCAGGACTTACAAGCCCACGGAGCTCCCACGTCGGCCAATGCCTTTCTTGAAAGCTGGAATTTTCTGTCAGCGCTACTGGGTTTCGCAAAACTTGCAGGCCAGTCACCTTTGTCAGGCCGTGTGCGAGGAGCTGCTGCAGCGTTGGCGGCCACCAAGAAGCCGCTGGTCCAAGCCTCACCATTGTCAGTTCCAATGATTCGGGCTCTGGAAAGAATTGTGGTGAAGCCTCCGTATCCTCATTGGCGTGTGATTGCTGGGCACATCCTTTTCTGTGTGGGAAGCTGTTCTCGCTTTTCGGATACAATCCACCTCAAATCTTTGGAGCTTCAGAGTGCGGGAAGCGTGCATCTTTTGGAAGCATCCTCTGCGTCTTACAAGACTGGTACTGGCGAACGGAAGACCATACTTCTGCCGCTGCTTTGCCTGGGATCTTTCGTATACCCCACGATTTGGGCGCCGCTGTGGATGGAAGCCCGAGCTGATGCTGGCCTCGGCCTCAATCCGTCACTGCCTGCATTCAGCGAGGCCTCGCAGTCTTGGTTGGAGCGTCGCATGTCTACTGGTGAGCTTACCATGTACCTGCGTGAGTTCCTCGTAGCCAGTCATATCGACATTCCTTCGGAGTCCCGCATCAGCAGTCACAGCATGAAGGCCACCTTTCTTAGCTGGCTAGCCAAATTCGGAGGCGTTTCTTTGGAGGACCGCCGCATTGCAGGGCACCATTTGGACCCTGATTCCCGGTCCCCTCTGACCTACAGCCGTGACGAGCTGTGCCGCTTGATGAAGATTTTCGAGGATATCCTGAAAGCCATCCGTTCCGGCCACTTTAAGCCTGATGACAGTCGCGTGATGCGTTTAGCTGTCATGGTTCAGGCTGAGTCAGGCCCTCAGCTGCAGGAGAAACTCCTCGAGCACGACATCAGCCCAGAGGATCTGGAGGCCCGAGCCGGTGGAGTCCCCCTGGACGAAGGCTTGAACGCTGCTCAGATCTCTTCTGTATACAGCAAGATGCACATTTACAGTCGTACAGTGCATATACAGGCTGCTGAAGGTGCCAAATTTTTGTGTGGCCGACCCATCACCCGCAATTTTGACGAGCTGGACAAGGCCGTACCGGCCTCTGATCTGCTTGTTTGTAAGCGGTGCAGCCAAATCCACCGAGCCAGTTAAATAGCTGGCGCACGTATTGCTATTCTCGCAAAAGAAAGCCTCTTCAGCACGAGCAGCCGAAAGACCCAGGTAATCCGAGAAATTTCTCTCCCAGCCTGCAGTGGTCTCAAGGGTGGTGCCAAGCCGGGTCTATGAGCAACTACATCTGCGCTGGCGGTACTCGGGGCACCTTAACCCCAAGCCGTTGGACGCCATGGAACATTGTGCGTCTTGCAAGCTGTTTTTCGCATCCCCGGTATCCGGCACCATCCCTGGCAATCTTTCATGCTGTGTGGTACACTGCGTAAGCTGCGAGCGTCTGGAGTCCTCTACAGCTCTTGTCCACATGTGCAGTTTTGTTGAAGCCGGCTGCCGTGTGAACCATGTCCAGCCTCGACAGCAAGGCGGCCTTTAAGGCCAGGGCAATCGAGCTCAACTTTCCCGAGGAGACCCTGACCAAGCTCGCAGCCATCAATGTGGACACGTTCGGAGCCCTAGCCTTTATCGGGCCCCTTCAAGCTGGCACGACCGATGAGGGTCCACTCATCAGCATGCTGAAACGTGCTTTGGGTTCAGCGCCTGACGACGGGCTTATGAGCATCGCTCGCCGCCTGTGGTTCGAAAGCACCACTCAGGCTCTTGCTGAAATGCGTGGCAAGGTCGAGCGCACCGATGCTTCTGAACCTGTTCGGATGCCTTTGGCCGAGCGCACACAACGCCTTGCTGCTCTTCAGAAGAGACTTGTGGGTATTCACTGGACCTCCGACATTGAGCCTTCCCATAAGCTGCAAGACTTGGTTGCTCAGATGGTGTCTGATCAGTCCTTGCTTTGGATTCCGTGGGATCGCCTCACAAGCCGAGCTTTGGAAATTACGTCTGACAAGACCGATCAGGCGGTCAGCTTCGACAGTGCCGGGAACCTCAAGCTCGTGAAACGGTCGGCTGAGCCTTCTTGCAGTACCATCGGCGAATACGCCGTTAAGCTGGCACTTCAGCGGAGGAGTTTCGCCTTCGAGCTGGCCAGAGTCTGCCGTTACGAGTACCTCGAGTCCTGGCACGACCAGATGCTGCAAGTGCATATGCGCTCCCAGCCTTCAGGCCATCAACGAGTTTCGATTGCTCAACTTCGTGAAGCCGACAAGTTTCTGTGGACGAGGATCGCCGAGGATACGCGTGGCTCACTGTCCATGCGCTCAGACGGCTCGTACCCCTTTGAGGCCTCGCTTGCAAAGTGGAAGGATCACACGCAAGTTCAGTGCTACCTACTTCCGCTGATGCGATCACCGCCTCCACCGCCGAATCCACACACGCCCAACATCCCCCCCAACAAGGACGGGAAAGGGGGCGGCAAGGACAAAAATCAGAAAGCTCTGAAGATTCGCAAGGACACTCCCGGAGCGGAGAAACCCAGCGACTCAGGAGCCAAGAAGTGGAGCGTCCCGCAGGGTTGCCACTCGCACGATTCGACCGGCAAACCGCTGTGTTTCAGCTTTAACACCAAGGGCTGCGGGTTCGCGAAACCCGGCAAGCGCTGTCGCCGTGGCCGCCATCTGTGCTGGAGGTGCCTGGAACCGCATCCGGCTTCCGAGTGCCCGGAGTTTCAGTGACCAGATTCTGCAGCTGCCGGCGTGATGACTCCTTCATTCAGGGATGACGAGACCGGTGGCAGGCGCCTTGCGGCCGAGGAGTTGGCCGACCAGCTCCTTGCTCGGCCCACTGTTACTTCGGGTGATTTGCTACGTCTTAGTTTAGCTTTGCCTTCTGAAATCCCTTCCCGAGGAACCGGTTCCGGAGGGCGCTCTGTTAGTTTGGGGGCTTTTGCTTTTTCAGGATCGCAGTGCTTGCGTGTGCGTGACACCAGCAAGCAGTACCCCTTGAGCACCAAAGTTTTTGCCAGATTCGTACGTCAGCTTGACAAGGATTTTACTTGCACAACCATTGCCGTTTTCACAAACCTTCAAACACAGCTGCACCAAGATACCGCCAACGATTCGCGGAGCTGCAACCTTCTTTATCCGCTCTCCAAATTTTCTGAAGGAGACGTCTGGATCGAGTCCGATCAGGGAAAGGTTCCTTTCGAACACCGGGGCGAGGTTCTCTGGGGAAACTCCCTGCCGGTGTCCCAGGGGCTTTGCTATCTTGATGCGCCGAACTGCCGACATGCCACTTTGGCCTGGAAGGGCGAGCGCAGTATTCTAGTGGGATACACGGCCCAAGGAGCCGATTGCATGCCTCAGGAGACGCGCGCATTCCTTGAGAACTTGGAGTTTCCCCTGCCCCCCGAGGGCCCCAGGCCCATCCCTAAGACTAGTCCCGAGCCCGTTAAGCCCTCCCTTGCTGTCGCTGACTCCTGTAAGCCTCTCTTCGTCGAGATCTTCGCAGGCTGCGCGCGGCTTTCAAAGCATTGCGAGGCTTTGGGGTTTGAGGTTTTAGCGGTTGACCCCCCTTGGAACCGTCATGCACCTGAACACCCTCTTCTTGTGCTGGACCTTACGGAAACCATGTGCCAAAAGCAGCTCCTGGACAGGCTACTGCTGCACCCCCCATTCGCCATTCACATTGCCTTGCCCTGTGGTACGGGTAGCCGAGCCCGAGAAAGGCCCATAAGCAAGAAGGCGAGATTGGCAGGTGCCCCGGAGCCTGTCCCGCTGAGGGACAACGATCACATTTTGGGCTTACCGAACCTGTCGGACACCGACAAGGCCCGGGTTCGCAAGGCCAATGATCTGTGTCGCTTCGTTGTCGAGCTGATTCGTGCCTTACCTTCTTCCACCTTTGTGAGCATCGAGAATCCCAATAATTCCTGGATTTGGGGAGTGCTAGCTTTCTTCGTGCAAGAATCTCGAGACCCTGCCCTACTCGAGAAATGGCGTCGCATGATCGATGTGCGCTTTCATAATTGCATGAAGGGAGGTCGACGACCAAAGCACAGTCGCTTTCGTTGCAGTGATTCTCGCTTGTCTAGCATGGCTGTGGAGTGCGACAATCAACATAGGCACGATCCCTACCTGGTCTATCAGACCGGCCGACAGTGGAGATTCAGTACCGCTGAAGAGGCGGAATATCCGCCTCAACTTTGCCAGGAGGTGTCGCAACTGCTGGCCGCGACAGCGGGTTTGCCATCCTGCTTAGAACCGCCGGCCGGTCCACGCGCTGTCTGGCCCAACCACGTGGGAGCCACAAGCTAATCCCTGAGTTCCTCGAGTTTCGCACCGAGGCTCCCCTAGATAGGCCCTTTAAGGAGTTTACCTCGGGTTTAGGGGGTGGTTCCGGGAGGTTCGGGGTGTACAGAACGCCTACCGAGTTCATCGATTGTGCCCTAAAGCTCAGCCATCCCTTTGACACCCAGCACTGCGTCCCAGATGCCGTCAAAAGGAACATCTTCAGACGGCTGACCGAAGGACCATCTGCTTTTGCTGAAGAGAGGCTCAGACTTTACAACAGGCTCAACCAGATGGAGAAAGAACTTCGCTACGAGGAGGCGCGACTGCATTCAACCCTGCCTGACCACACTCGCGAAGTCATCAAGGGAAAGAACCTTCTGCTATGGGCACAATTGCTGAAGGAGACCAAATTTCCTGATGAAGGAGTCTTCGACTTGATGATGGGCGTCGATTTGGTGGGCAAGCCAGACAAATCACCCTTGTTTGAAACCAAGGAATCGCCGGCTACATCCACACCTGAGCTTCTCCTTGAATCAGCTCGCTGGCGCAGAGAGAGGCTCAAGGGCCGTGATCCGCACGAGAAAGATCCGGAGGCGACCTGGCAACTCTGGGATTGCACTCTAAAGGACCGGGACGACGGCTTTCTCACAGGGCCGTTCTACGATGAGGACGAAGTGAAAAAGCACCTTGGAGTGGAGGAGTTCGTCTGTTCGAGAAGGTTCGTCATCGAGCAGGGCACGCCGGAGAGGCCCAAACTTCGACCGATCGACAACTACAAGGAGGGCGGGGTCAACGAAGCTTACCATAGCCTCGAAAAGCTCGCCTTGTTTGATGTCAACTGGATGACGGCGATGGCAACTTACATCGCGCGGGTCTCGGATGGAACCGGCGCTTTGGAGATTGTTCTCAGCACGGGAGAAATTCTACGCGGAGAGCTGCACTCTTCTAGGAAAGCTAAGAAGCCCGTCTGGCAGGGGCGAACGCTGGATTTGGAAAAGGCGTATCGTCAAGTTCCACTTTCAACGGAGTCGCTGCGACTGGGGGTCGTCATGGTCACGGACCCTAACAGCGGCAAGCCTTGCTACTTCGTGGCCCAGAGTTTACCCTTCGGTGCATCATCGTCTGTGTTTGCTTTCAACAGGCTGTCAAGATCGATCTTGCATCTGAGCTGGAACTTGATTGGCATGATCTCAGGATGCTTCTACGACGACTTCCCGCTTCTTGAAATCCAATCTTCCGCGAAGCTTGTTTCTGAATCGTTCGAACACCTGCTGCGGAAGATCGGGTGGAGGTATTCCAACGACCCAGCCAAAACCTCGCCTTTCAATGAGAGCTTCGATCTACTTGGAATCCGTCTTAACGCAGGCGACATCTCCAATGGCGTCGTGGTGCTCCAAAACAAGGCGTCAAGGCTGGAGAAGATGAAAGATACTTTCATCCGCATGGCGTTGAGTGGTGAATGGGATCTGCGGCAGATTCAGTCGCTGCAAGGGCAAGTGAACTTCGCTTTGGGCTTTGCTTCAGGAAGGGCAAGGAAGATGCTGCAGCGTGCACTTGGAAGCTTCATCAGGAATCCTGAAGATCGCAGTGCGAGTGACTTCCGGACACTTTGCGAGTTCGGGATCCGCTTGATTGACGAGTGCAAACCAAGAGTCTTCGCCTGCCGGGGGCCGGAACAACCGGTGTTGATCTTCACTGATGCAGCTTACGAAAAAGGTGTCGCCACATTCGGCGTGGTGGTCCTGGATCCCTTCACTTCTTCTAAGCTAGTGGCCGGAGGTCGCATACCGAAGACTCTGGTGGAATTCTGGAAGCTTGACAGCCCCGAACAGGTGATTGCTCAGGCTGAAGCTTTCGCCGTGGTCCTCGCAAGAGAAGCTTTCAGAAACTTCACACATGGCAGGCGAACCATTTACTTCATCGACAACGAGGGAGCGAGAGAAGTCTTGATCAAAGGGGCGAGCAAGTCACGTACGCTTCTGCTTTTGGGAGCACGCTTCTTCGAGATGGAAAACTTGGATCAAAGCTTGACGTGGCTAGAGAGGGTTCCATCTGCTAGCAATGTGCAGATGGGCCGAGTCGTGGTGAGATTGCCGAGACGGCGAAAATCATTGGTGGCACGATCGTTGATCTGCAGGAGAAGGCAGAAGAACTTGGAGAGTTGTGCAAATCAACTGTACAGATACCTTGGAAGCTGCTCAAGTAAGACCGGTCACTTTTAAAGGGGGTTATGCGTGTTGGGGCAGAATCGGTATCATGCACAACTGAGCGATTGCGAATCCTACCGCATATTTGCTCGTGCCTCAACCGAAACCCGAAACAGTGGCACTGACCACATCTTATGTTTCTGACTCGCCCTACCGTGTGAGACCCCCGACTGGAAAAAAAAGACCGAGTCCGAGTTCGAGCACTCTTGTGAAGAAATTTTACACATATGTATAGTTGCGATTCTCAAATATCGATTGATTGAATTCGCATATTTGTATAGCTTGCGATTCTCAAATATCGATTGAATAAGTTCGCACTTTGTTTATCGATAAATCAAATCATTGTGAAAACAGAAAGACGGCGATTTCGCGGAGCGACTAAGTTGTCTTTTCTGTTTTCATAGCTGCCGGTGCAGCAGTGCAATGATTAATTATTTATCGTTTTGCTTCCGGCATGCTTTCATGATGTGAGCTTTTGACTCACTCTTTTCAGGCATGTTTTTGGATTCATTTTGAAAAGTAGTCGGACGCGCTTTTTAAGTATGTGGACTACTTTTCAATGTTGATTGAAGTTTAACTCATGCGTGATCACCCGCGCCGCTTCACACAGCATGGCTCGTCGCACATGTGCAACATGACATCGAATCAGCTCATGAGCTACGCAGCTTGAGCATGCACTGTGCAGCAGAGCTTTGCTAAAATTTTCACCCTCCCTCCCGCCCTTGAGGGCTTTCGCCCTATATATTGGTGGGGGGGGTTATGCGTGTTGGGGCAGAATCGGTATCATGCACAACTGAGCGATTGCGAATCCTACCGCATATTTGCTCGTGCCTCAACCGAAACCCGAAACAGTGGCACTGACCACATCTTATGTTTCTGACTCGCCCTACCGTGTGAGACCCCCGACTGGAAAAAAAGACCGAGTCCGAGTTCGAGCACTCTTGTGAAGAAATTTTACACATATGTATAGTTGCGATTCTCAAATATCGATTGATTGAATTCGCATATTTGTATAGCTTGCGATTCTCAAATATCGATTGAATAAGTTCGCACTTTGTTTATCGATAAATCAAATCATTGTGCAAACAGAAAGACAGAAGAGTTTGCTGAAGGAGAAAAGGAAGTGGTTACAGCCATTTCAGCAAAGCCAATTCCACTTTGGATCCTCGGCACTCCTTACGCTGCCGGAGATCGAGCAGACCAAGAAAGCCATGGTCGTGACTACTGGAAGATGGATCTTGAGAAAGGAGAAGTTGTTCGTCACCACGTAGTACCAAGAACTGTTTTGTTTGACCCGACAGGTGTTTCCAACTGTCCTGTCCTCCTTGGAGATCTCGAGAACAGCAGGTATACCCAAGGAGACTGCATCTACAGTACAGAAATCTACGAACACAGTGACGACTGGAGAGCAGACCGTCTACCTCTACGTGAACACTTTCGTTTGCCGTGGTTTGGTCAAACAAGGTTTCGTGTGAAGCCAGAAGTTGTTGAAGACCTGAAGGCAGAAGCTGCAGCAGAGGAGCTAAAGCAGAAGAAAGAAGACCACTACAAAGAGAAGGAAGATTCAGCAGCACCACCAGAAGCAGAGGAAAGCAAAGACGAAGAGATGAGAGAAGCACAAGCAGACCAAGAAGCACCACAAGAAGTTGTTGAAGTTTTGGAGGAAAGCTTCTACCACGAAGGCGTCGAGTACACAGCACAAAGGAGCAGTCTTAAAGAACTACAAGCACTTTGCAGAGAGTACGGAGTTAAGACCACAGGAAGCAAGAAGCAGCTTTTGAAGAGACTAGCCACAGCAGTCAGAGAAGGAAGGCTCAGCACGCAACACAAGGAACAACGGGAACACCACCAAGCATACCACTTGGCACCACCACAGGAACCAACGGAAGAGGAGAGAGCGTACCACAACTTGACGCACCTTCCGTATCAACCTTGGTGTCCCCATTGCGTTGCTATGAAAGCACGAGAAGACAACCACAAGAAAGGATTGAGCAAGCCAAGCAGCTCTACGGATTCCGCGAAGCCCGTCATCAGTTTTGACTTTTGCTATACAAGCACCACAGGAAGTGAAGAGCCACCAGCAGTGACTCTTGTCGCTGTGGACAGCTGGAGCAAGGCAGTTCTTGCGGTGCCCTGCAAGAGGAAAGGAGGTGCAGGAAGCACGACGCATCTCGCGGAAGCACTCGTGCAGTTCACCACGCAGCTCGGAGACAACGAGAACGCAGCCAAAGCACTCAAGGACAAAGTACAGAAGGTACGCAGCAGCCTCGGACTTTCTACAACACTACAGGAAAGCATTCCTTACGACCACGAAAGCAATGGAGCCGCAGAAAGAGCAATACAAACAGTACGGAGGCAAGCGAACACTATTCTCGATGAGCTCAGAGAAAGAACAAAGCTAGGAATACCGCACGAGCACGCAGTAGTAAGCTGGGCGTTTAGACACGCCTGCTGGCTACTCAACAGGTTCGCAGTGAGCAGCTCCACAGGAAGAACGCCACAGGAAGTTATCCACGGATACCCCTACTCAGGGAAGCTTGTACCCTTTGGTACTGTTGTGATGGCGAAGAGGTTGAAGATCAAAAGAAAAGGCGACAGGATATGGAACGCAGGAATATTTTTAGGCAAGACAGAGCAAGACACATGGATCGTTGCACAGCCTGATGGCATACATATCACACGCAGCGTGAGACCACTACCAGAACAGTACGACTCCAAAAGAACAAGCAGCATAGAGGTCCATACCTGGAACCTCAACACACCACTCCTTGGAGCAAGAGTACTTCCAGAGAAGAAGCAAAGACAACGACCACAGCTAAGCATCCTGCCCCCTGTTGCCGAGGAAGAACGCGAACAGCTCGAGAACGACGAGGCCGCTAGCGACCCTCCGAGTTCGGAGGACAGCAGTGAAGAGCAACAGCGAGCACTTGAAGACAGAGAGGAACAAAGCGAAGGCAGCAGCATGAGTGTGACGAGAGACAGAAAAAGAAGAGCTGAAGTTGATGACGACACCCTTTTGGAGGAACTCAGAGCAGCTGAACCACTTACAGCCTCAGCAGAAGCACTTTCAGCACCAGCTGAACCAAGAGCAGAAGCAAGCAAGCACAGCCTTGAGCCTGAGGAACCAAGCTCACCCAGCAAGCTACGAAAGCAGGTCAACAGAGCAGAGGAAACAGACGGTTACCTCAACATGCCTCATGATGATGAAGTCTACGAAGCAGATGATGAGTTTGTGTACGAGTCGGAAGAACAAGAAGAGGAGACAGAGAGTGAACCAACGGAAGTTTCTACCAAGGTCCCTGTCGAGTTCTTCGATGAGGAGAAAGGACCACCGAACGTGGATCCAGCTTTTCTTCAGAAGTTGGATGATGAAGCTACAGTCAAAGAAATCAAGAGGTTAACAAAAATGGGAGTTATTTCGTTGGTTTCTACGGACCCTCAGGAAGCAACTGAGAACGTACCTCTGGTAGACTCAGAACAAGAACTTCACAAGTGGTTGACAACGAAGTTGGTGAAAGATTGGAGGTTCAGAGAAGCTACAGGTTTTGAAGTTGATGAAGCCACAGCAGGAACAACAAAGCCCAAGCAGATTCAGAGATGCTGGCAACGACGTGCCAGGCTAGTAGCAAGAGAATACAAGACAGAAGGAAAAAGAGAAGATATATTTTCTCCTGCGACAAGCCCAGGAATTACAAAACTGGTACCCATGTTGGCTCTACAGTGTCGACGTGAAGGACGCGTTTTTACAAGTCCCTCAAAGAACACCTTGTTTGTGTCGAGTACCTGAAGAAGCAGCTCACGTTGTACAAGCAATGCAGGAACAACCAGAACGCAACCCTGGAACTTGGTGTTGGAAGTTAGGAAGAGTTTTGCCAGGTCAACGCGACGCACCCAGTCTTTGGTCAGACTTTTGTGATGGTCTTTTGGTGGAAGAGAAGTTTGAGCGTTGTACAGCAGTTCCAGCACTTTACCCTCTTCTACGACAAGGAAAAGTGGTTGCAGTTTGCATTGTACACGTAGATGACTTGCAGTTTGCAGGGAAGAAGGAAGTCATCGAACCAATCCTCAAGAACCTCAAGAAGAAAGTGAACTTACAAGTTGAAGGACCTCTCCTGAACGAGGAAGATTACGAGAAAGGATTTTCTGAAGAGACCGTGAAGTTTCTTAAAAGGAAGTACACGTACGAACATCATGAACTACGAGTACATAGCGATAGCAAGTACGTGAAGAAACTCGTGGAGATCCTCAAGCTGGAGAAGAAGAAGGCCAAGAACTCTCCTTGTACACCAGCCAGTCAGGAACCTGACGGATCCCAAGAACTAGACGAGGAACACTCGAGAACGTACAGAAGTTGTGTCGGCATTTTGCTGTACGTGGCGCACGACCGTCCGGACATCCAGTTCGCAGTACGCAGCCTAAGTACTGCCATGACGAAGCCAACAGAACGCAAAAGAAAGGAACTGGAGCACTTGGCGCTTTACCTCAAAGGAACGTCAGACTACGCCGTTACGTACCACAGGAACAGCCCAGGAACGTCAGCTCTACGTCATCGCGCAGAAGAACCACAAGAACCACAAGAACCTCGAGAACAACCACGTGAACGTTTACTCGAAGTTTTTAGCGACTCCGACTGGGCCGGAGACAAGCAGACTAGGAAGTCAGTGAGTTGCGCCATGTTCTACCTGGACGGTGCATATTTCTACAGCTACAGCAGGACACAGAAGTCAATAGCATTATCTTCAGCAGAAGCAGAATACATGGCACTTACAGGAGCAGCAAGCGAAGGAATAGGTTTACACGCAGCAGTTCGTTTCCTTACAGGAGAACGAGTACTACTCAAAGCATACACAGACAGTTCCGCATGCCGCGGAATCACAAACCGCCAAGGAACAGGAAGAGTCAAGCACTTGCAGATTCGTTTACTTTGGCTACAAGCAGCAATACGCGAAGGCAAGCTTACTGTACACGCAGTTGGCACAAAGGAAAACACAGCAGACCTAGGAACAAAGCCTCTCAGCACGAAAAGAGTGAAGTTTCTCCTGAACATGATCGGCATGTGCAACAGCGAATCAAGAGTTGGAGAGCAAGAGCGAGAGGAAGAAGAGAAGGCACAAGTGGTGAGAAGACTCGAGAAGATCATGAAGAACAAGAGCAGCATGTTGTTTGCACTTTCGAGTTTGTTTGCAAAGACTGAGGCAGCCTACGTACAACACGTACCTTTCGCCGCAGCTCAAGAAGTAGCAAGCCCACAAGAAGTCCCAAGCAGTCCTGGAAGCATGTCGCTTCTGGAAGTCCTGGTGACGCTCGCCATGGTGTGCATGGCGGCATACTTTGTCGTCAACGAGATGAAAAAGCCGCAGAAGCACAAGAAGTCGAAGAGAAAAGAGAAGGAAAGCAGTGAAGAAGAGGAAGAAAGCAGCAGCTCAGGAGACAGAAGAAGGAAGAAGAAAGGAGAGAGAAGAGAAGCGAAGACTGAAGCTCCTGCCGCTCAGGTGAACTACGACGTGGACTCCTTCGACGAGGCAGTGACAGAGAAAGCAGAGAAGTTGAAGAAGGTTGAGGAAAGCCTGGAGAAGGAAAAGGAGGAGTTCGAAGTTCGAAGACCGAAAGACAGAGTTTGAGGAGACAGTGAAAAGGTTTTTGAAGAAGCAGAAGGAGGTGAAGGAAAAGGAAGACAAAGTTACAGAAAGAGAAGAGAAGTTAGAGAAAGACCAAGAGACCCTCCAAGAGCAAGCCAAGGCCTTAAGCGAGAAGGAGACAGCCCTTGAAGAAGCTGAGGAGAACGTCAAAGCAAAGGAAGCAGAGGTTGAGAAGAAGAAGAAAGAGGCAGAGAAGAGAGAGAGAAAAGCCCAGGAAAGAACCGCCGGCTACGACCAGGAGAGAGAAGAGTACGCCAAGAAGTACGTTGACGACGCAAAGAAGGACTTGGAGAGAGAGCTTAAAGTGCTAAAGCAAGAAGAGAAAGTAAGGAACCAGAAGCTCGACGACCTCCAGTACGACTACAAGAGCCTCAAGGACGACTACCAGTACTTCAAAGGTTACTCACAGGAAGTGGACGCACTTCTACTTGCAGCTAAGGACAAGATCGTGAAGTACAAGAAGAAGGTCAAAAGCCTCAAGGAAACCATAGGTGCAGCCTTGTCTGGAAGCGAAGGTGAAGAAGAGACAGAAGAAGCGTACAAGACCAAAGCAGAAGAAGAGAAAGAGAAGGCAGAGGCGAAGGCAAAAGAAGAAGAGAAGAAGAAAGGAAAAAGGCCAAAGCAGGTAGAGACAGAAGACCAAGAAGAGAAGCCCTCAAGCAACCAAGGAGACGAGAACACTTTCGACCCGAACGACATAGCCGAGTTCACGCAGCTTGGCTACGTGTGGGAGTTCAGCAAGAAGACGCAAGAGTACCGCGCGAAGTGCGAGGACAAGAAAGGAGCCCCAAGAATCAAGAACGCTCCGGTGAAAGGCCGCTTCCTTTGGAACAAGGTGACGGAGTGCTACAGAAGGCACAACGTGTGGTTTACAGACGGAAAGGAATTGGATAAAGTCCTCGAGACCAAGGAGAACGAGAAGATCGAGGAAGAGGTGCAGCGACGCATCGGCATGAAGGGCAAGAACGACAACACAGGAACCAAGGGAAAAGGCCCTTCCTTGGACGACGGACAGAACGACGGTTGGTGGTACAACGACCAGTGGAACAACGAGAACTGGAACACCACCGACGACGGCAGCAACTGGTACGAGAACGCGAACCCGCACAACAAAGGCTACTGGCAGACGCCAGAAGAGTGGGCGCAGCAGAACCAGTGGGACCAGTGGACACCCAAAGGAAAGAGCAAAGGCAAGAAGTCCAAGAACTGGGTCCAGACCCAGTGAAAGGATCCCGAGAAGGGATGATCGAGCAGGTCAAGCAGTGAACGCTTGTACATATGTACATAGCTAAGCAACGTAAGACTTGATGTATACTAGCACAAGAATTCATGTACAAAGTGTGAGCAAATGTATAGACGTAGCAAACTGGGGCAGTAAGCCTAGGTAAGCTACAACCTTCCAAAGTCTCACAAGAAGTTTCACAACAGGCAGGCTAGGAAGGCACAAGGGCCAGAAGAGGCAAGAAGCCGGAGAAGCCAAGAACAAAGAAAAGAAGCCCGAAAGAAGAAAAGCCCGTAGGCTACGTAAGGGCAGAAGGAAACCGGGGTACGGGCCTCCCCGCAAAGAGTCCATAGGCTGGACCTAACTAGAACGTAGCTGTATATACAGAGTAGGTTTTTCAAGAAGGCCAATGTACAGACATAGAAGGCCTAAGTAGCAACAGGGCAGGAGTGCAGCTAGGTAAAAGACCAGGAACAACGGAGACGAAAGTCCCTAGCAAAAGCACTGTACAGAAAGCCCTAGCAGTTTCCAAGAACACCCTAGGAACCCGCAAGAACTTTCTGAGGCGGGGTGTTCGTTTGTAACCTAGTGCACGTAGTCCCAAGTAGAGTGTGTAGAGTAATCACAGGAACACATGAAACATGTGTGTGAACCGCGACACGAAGGCTTAAGCAAGTCAGCCCGCGAAGTGAGAAAAGTGTGTTTGCGAGTAGAGTGGGAAGGAAGGCTTGAGAAGCCTTTAGTTTCAACAGTTCTTCACTTAGCTTTCTTGTAGATTCCCATGGTCCCATGGTTTTTGCAGCATGGACGGTGGGTTCCCTGTCGGCCCTGGTTTTTGCAGCATTTTTAAGTGGGTTCCCATGGTTTGTAGCAGTATCGACGGTGGGTTCTCTGTTGGGTTCCCTGTTTTTTGCAGCATGTTTAGTGGGTTCCCATGGTTTTCCAGTATATATCACTCAAAGGTTTGGGCGGGCTCCCTTAGCTTTTGCAGCATGTCAGCTGGGTTCCCTGCGGGTTCCTTGTTTTTTGCAGCATGTTTAGTGGGTTCCCATGGTTTAACAGCATCGACGGTGGGTTCCCTGTGGGTTCCTTGCTTTTTGCAGCATTGCAAGTGGGTTTTCCCAGCATATATTGCGCAAAGGTCTGGGCGGGCTCCCTTGGCTCTTGCAGTGTGTCAGCTCGGTTCCCTGTGGAGTACATGTGGGTTCCCATGGTTTCTCTAGCTCGCACATTATGTTTCAGAGAAGAGTGGAACTGAAGAAGATGTTCGGGACAGCGGCTGCAGGTGTGGCCCAGTTCCATCGCACATATTGCGCTGCATTTGGATTTGCTGCTTTGAAGTAAGGCTGCAAAAAGCACGTCTGCTGTTTGCGGTTTGGGTCGAGACCAAAGACGTTAAACAGGCTCACCTCTGATGCACATGAGGCTCGCCGCCCTCCTATTGTAAGGCTCTTGATAAGTTTGCTGCGGCTAAATGCTGGCGCGCTGATGCGAGGATTTTGCGGCATGTACTGGCAGACGATAATCTCAGCTTGTAACTTCAACTGTTTCGATTGCTTGCTGTACGTGCGCGGTGCTTTTTGCGTCTGGAAGCTCCACTTGCAGGAGCTCTTTTTTCCTACAGAATCGTAGGAAGCCTCGAAGAGCCTCCCCTGTGCGGGAATTTATCTTGTGCGAACAAGAACAGAAGCACTTGTCTTGAAACGGCAGCCGATGGCAAGTTTGGCAAATTTTCCAAGAGTATATCTCACATTTCACAGCATGTAGGACGTTGATCTAAACAGCACGCGGAAAGAATTTTGTTTTTCCGCGCAGTTTTCCAGCTGAAACGGGTTTCAAAAAGCAGCTCTAGTCCGGGCACCGAAACGGGCCCCAGATTTTGGCTTTCTTCGTTGGACATACAAGCTCACGCAATTCGGGGCCCCAAATTAGAGCTCAGATTTGGGAGCCATTTCTGGGGCCCAGTTATGCCGTTTTTTCGTCGAGCAGATGCCACATCTGCGTACACAGCTGGCCGTTGCGTGCAACAGTATATAAACCTCGCCAGCTCTGTTTTGCATTTTGCCGGTGTTCCTTCAAAACTCAAAATAACAAGTGGAACGCTCGGAAACATGTGAACCTTGCAAACAGAACTTTCTCACGCAGTGCGGGAATTATCTTGTGCGAACAAGAACAGAAGCACTTGTCTTGAAACGGCAGCCGATGGCAAGTTTGGCAAATTTTCCAAGAGTATCTCACATTTCACAGCATGCAGGACGTTGATCTAAACAGCACGCGGAAGGAATTTTGTTTTTCCGTGCAGTTTTCCAGCTGAAACGGGTTTCAAAAAGCAGCTCTAGTCCGGGCACCGAAACGGGCCCCAGATTTTGGCTTTCTTCGTTGGACATACAAGCTCACGCAATTCGGGGCCCCAAATTAGAGCTCAGATTTGGGAGCCATTTCTGGGGCCCAGTTATGCCGTTTTTTCGTGGAGCAGATGCCACATCTGCGTACACAGCTGGCCGTTGCGTGCAACAGTATATAAACCTCGCCAGCTCTGTTTTGCATTTTGCCGGTGTTCCTTCAAAACTCAAAATAACAAGTGGAACGCTCGGAAACATGTGAACCTTGCAAACAGAACTTTCTCACACTGTAAGGTTAAAGGTAAAGGAGAGTTCAGCAAGTCATTTTTCGGTACGCTCCTCTGGAATGGTTCGGAAAATCAACCCTTGCCTTTTAGCATTTAGAGATTGCAGTTATTCGTCCGGCCGAAAAAACGTGCACCGCTTGCAGAGTATTGTGCCAGAAACTTTTGTTTCTAAGCGCCACCAAAAACCGCATCTGAAGTCGTAAAGGGACTCTCAAACAGGTTGAGGTTCATTCGTTGCATTTTTGCGCTTGGAAGCGACTCGTTTTGGCGCTCATTGCATGGATGCGGCAGCAACCCCCCCTCCCACCCCCCTTGACTTCTAGCATCCGTCTTGCTTCGTAGAGTAGCTCTTGTTCCTCTACCTCCTGTTCAATAGTCGCACATATTTAACACGAGATATGTCCTTGAATCCCATGTTTTTGCAAGAGAAGACTTGCTTTGCCCCGTCCATGTTTCATGCAGTGTTTAGAATATAGTGAAAGAGCCAGTATTTGCGAGTAATTTGCGCACCTGCTGACAAAGTCGCGCAGAGTAGTGGAAGTACGGAGTAGCTGGCATGAGAAACGTCAAGGCGCCATCCCTTCCCGCGCCGGCCCGCGCGCCAGAAGGAGGAGGGCGACATCAGAAACCGATTTAGCAAATCAGACTAGAGCTAGTCGAACCACCAGCCTTCAACACCATATGCCTTGAAGGGCGCATAGTTCGTACTTGAAAGCCTGCAACCGTGTGGGAGTCAGGGCAAGCGACTTGGAAAAACACTGGACTAAACCTTTGATCTGGTGCCTCATGCCGCTAGTCTGCTGCGTGTGGGACCCTTGAATAGTATTTTAGGCTTCCGAGTCCCCGCGGCCACAAATGCGATTTTTCCTTGGGAAACTAGCCACCGAGGCCACAACACAGGCTACAAACGTGTGGTGTTGCGAAGAGCCCAAAAAGGGCTGCTCTTTTTTTCGACCCCGAAATATCTTTCTTCAGACCCCGCGCTTGGTCCATCTTGATTTCGACCCCGGAGAGCAAATCGAAATTGCAGGCAGGGCAAACTCATGTGGGAGCCTTCCGAATCCTGGACCTTGTCTCGACCTTCATGTTGACAGATTTGACGGGCTATGTTCGAGGCCGAGAACCCCTTCGAAAACGTGTGCGCCGCAGAGGTCTCCCCAGTTGCTGTGCTGTTGGATGGAGTGGCTGCGTGAGTAAAAAGAGAAACGGTGATCACTTTTTTTGAAGTTGAGAATTCAAAAGAGAGTGAGGATTTTTAGTGCATCTGAGTATTGGCACACTTCTCGAGGGCTCAGAAAACGGTCGCATGTTTGGACCTGCATTTTGGTGCCGGCAAACCACTTTCGAGTTCATTTTTGAAGTCGCACAATCTGGACGCGGAGCGACCATTTCTTCAGCAAGATGCAGCCGGATAACTCCAAAATGTAGCCAGTTAATGCTTGTCTTGAACACGTATTCGTTTCAAACAATCAAGTTGAAACTTGCTGCATTCTTACCAAGCGCAGCGCCAACAGTTGCTAATTCACTCCGTTTCACCGCTGTTTTCTTGTGTGTTTGTTTGTTTAACAACCGTAGTTTACTGGGACCGAGTGCTGAGTCGCAGCCAACGAGGCCCGCTGACGCCAAAAAAAAGCCTTGTCCTTAGTGTTGACAGTCGGGCTATTCGCTCCTTGTAGAAGACGTTCAATTCTCTTGTCGAGCAGCTGAACAGTTTGAACCTTCCATTCCGTGGGCAGATCGGAATTGGTTGGCTTAGGCTCATTGCGGCAGTGCGTAAAGGGTCCAGCTTGGTGTAGCTGGAGCATCTTGGCTACAGGATCACTCAGGCAGATCAAGGTGGAGGAGGACCATTTTCCCTTGAAGGAAATGCATTCTGCAACACTTTTTGGACTTTCATGAGCCTGTGCTGGGATTTAGCTTGTTTGTCACACAGACGGAGCCAAAAGCCTGCATTTTTGAAGAGCCCTCTGCTTGACGGAAGTTGGAGGACGGTGATTGCGTTTGTCTTACGCTTGTGTCAAACACAAGCCTCCGCGCCCAGAGTTCTCCAAGAGAATGCGGGTGCGTGTCTGGGCGGGCGACCAGTTTGAGGAGCAGGAAAGGGTGGAGGTACGCAGAAGGTTGATGGTTTCGGTGCCTTCCGCAAAGTGGTTGGCAAGCGCCCGCAGTTGGCTCTTCAGACGACAGAGAGGCCCTCGCATGGAGCAAATCACGCGTTTTCACGTCCGTTTGTTCCAGCTTAAGCACTGGTTCGGCGGACAAGACATGTTTTCGGTGTGTGGCCAGCTACGCAAGCTTTTGTGAGCCCTGCCCCACCTCGTGTCCAGGTAGAGGTGGCAGGCGAAATGAGGGATGTGGTCACGCTCGACTGAAAAAGAGGGCAGTGTTTGGTTTGGGAAAGCCGGCTTGAGTGAGGTTGGAAAGCCAAGGCCAAGACAGAAAAACGCGTGTTTTTTGTCGCTGGCGGCGTCCGCGCGAGTTAATAATTAGTTACCGCGCGAAACGCCGCGCCCGGCTCTCTCCGCTCTTCACCGTCTTTTCGTGCTTCTTGCACGGGGAATCGGTGGTGGTTTTGCCTCCTGCACACCGACGCCGATTACACCGTTTATCGGTTTATCCACGTAACGGAATGGCGCCAAAAGAACTGTCCGTTGTCCGACGGGGGACCAGAACGGTGGCCGGAGTCTTGTCTTTGGACTGAACCCTTGCGCCGGGCAGTCTTGTGCGACGGCTCTTTTCTGCTCCCGAACTGCTGCTGAGGCAGACCGTAGTCAAGTTAGCGGAGCGGCTGATGTCGACTAAGTCTACAGGCCACAGTTCTTGATGCTTAGATGCCTCTTACGTTTCACCGCTGTCTTGTTTTTGTTGTTTGGCCGATGATTCGTCGTTTTCGTTGGGGATTGAGTGGTCGTGCCGCAAGTGTCCAAACCTGTCAAGGTGATGAGACCCATCCTCGTGTCACATGCTTTGAGGCTTTGAAGGCTGCTAGAAAGCAAGTTTCCAGGATGACGTTAGTGGAACGGCCAGACTCTTCAGAAAGCGCGCGTGCCAGAACGTGCAGGGAGGGAAGGTGTGAACGTTGGCATCCAAACTTGTCAAGAGTGGTTCACTGATCTGGTGCAAGGCATCACTGGCGAAGGATTGCGTGCTTGGAAATGGCGAGGTCTAGATCGAGTGAACGCCCACACCAAAAACCGGAAACCTTGAGTGTTCGAGCTGGCGCTCCAGGCCCTGTGCGATTAACTTTGGCACACGTCCAAAAGTTTGCTTCTTCCTCTGAACCTGGGCAAGAAACGGTTAATTTTTGCCAACTCTGGACAACCTGTCCGACTGGTTCGATGAGGCCCGACACCTTTCTGGCCCGGCAGAGATGCACACACAACGCTGTAAAGGTCAAGTCAACATATGCTTTAAAGCATGCTGCATTCTGGTACAGCAGCGCTGTCTGCCAAAAGCTCAGCCTCAAAGGTTTTGGTCCTTTGTTGACAGCTCCGAGCTTCTTGGCCTGGGCATCACGAAACCTTTGAGAAGTGACAGCACCTGGTATGAGGGACCACCGCAAGAACGGAAACCCATTGTTGATTGACGTCACCGCAGGCCGTGGCTGAGGCCGTGGGGTGTCCCTTTCGTTTTTTTTTCAGCGCCCCCCCTGCATCTGCCCAAAGTTACAAGTGGTGCTCAAGTTCTGAGAAATCATTAAACATACTGGCATGATCAAGTACATTCACTTTACATTTTGCCGCTGACTTTTGAAGTCTTGCTGCGGTCAACGGGTTGTCGACGCTTTGAGAAAGATGGTTTTTGAAAATACTTGGAAAGTTTTTGCAACTTCCGATCAAGCTAATTTTCCAAAAGGGCAAAAGTTGCAAGTTTGCTTGTTTCCTTGGTGTGTCCATGGTGCATTGCGACTCTGTGGAACCCGTTGCAGACGGGCTGAAAGGTGGGCCAAGGACAAAACAAGATTAAGTTCCATTTTCTTTGGTCCGATGCCATAGGAGTGGCAATCTTTTTTGAATTCTGTCCGCCCACCCGCCCTTATCAGTGCGAAGCTTCTGTAAAGCTCCTGCCAGCGCAGTTTAAACAGCACTACTTATTTGTGTAGTGTGCGTGTATTTTATTTTTATTTTTTGTGTGTGTGTGTGTGTGTGTGTGTTTGTGTGCGTGTGCATGTGTGTGCACATGTATGCCTGCATGTGAGCGAAAGCGAGAGAGAGAGAGAGAGAGGGAGAGAGAGAGAGAGAGAGAGAGAGAGAGAGAGAGAGAGAGAGAGAGATAGAGAGAGATATAATAAAGATGGTCATATTTAAAGGAATTCGAATTGCTCAATTGGCTGTAGCGGCCAGAGGCAATCACATTCGGAAGAGCACCGTTCGTGGATGCGGCTTGCTTATGGGCATGGCTGTCCACGTAGACTTTGGAACAACTCACTGTGCTGCTTATCTGAACCGTCCTGCCAAGGCTCTATAAGGTACCGAAGCCGGGTAGTGAACCCCATTGGCAAAGGCCCTGGCCAGCCCCAGCAACACAGCCACTGGCCCCTGTCTGGCCAAAAAACATGCCTGTAGATTCTCTACTGTTTGGTTCATGTTTCTTCGAAGCTGCATGCATCCAAGGTTGTACAAGCTGCTCTCGACCCACACTGTAAGAGCTTTGCACACAAGCAAAAGCAATTTCAGGTTTTGTAAATCACCCTAGACCTCCTGTAGCCCTCTCGGAAGCCTTGCGTACAGAGCCATTGTGAAGTGTGCAGTGGCATTGCAGCTGAAACGACAAGCCCTTTCGGAGCAAAAGTGCCGCGCACGAAGTGTGCTTTTACATGGTAGCGGAGCCGCTACGATCCTGATTTCGTGAATCTCAGGTGTGCGCCGTGCTTCTTTGGAGCTGCCCTGGGCAGCTGAGGCGGCTGCTGCGGCGGCCGGCCTGTGCTCCACCTTCTGCCTCGACTTTGTGACCGAGGCGACCGAGGACCTCTCCGACTACAAGGCCGCTGGTGGCGACGCGAGCCAGGGTACGTCCCCGCTCGCAGGTGCCGACCTGACTGGGAGCCAGGGCTCTTTGCCACGCTCCTTTGCAAGATGTCGGCTGGAGCAGCCACGGCGGCTGCGGCGGCAGCGCAAGCGGCGCAGGCCGTGCTGGAGACTTCGGAGAGCTACCGGCGAAGCGATGTGCTTCGCACTTTGATACAGAAGCCGGATATATTCCGGCCGGACACCCGTGAGCAAGAAGTGGAGCAGTGGAGCGAGTGGAAGCACATGATCAAGAACTACTTGTCGGTGGTGGACACCAAGATGCTCGAGGACATGGAGACCATCGAGAAGACCCCGACAAGGCCCTCAACAGTGGATGGAATGGATGCTGCGGTGCGCAAGCGCAGCATCGAGCTCTATGCCATTCTGCTTTCCTTTTTGTGAGGCAGAGACCGGCAAAGCTTGTGAGAGGGGTTCCCTCCAACAATGGGTTTGAAGCCTGGAGGGTGCTGGTGGGAGAAATGCAGCCAGCCACGCGTCAGAGACAACTGGCTTTGATGTCACAGTTGGCCGGCATCCGGTTCGATGCGAACCGCAGCCTGGCCGAGCAGATCGTGAAGTACGAGGAGCTCATCAAGGAGTACGAGCGGGTGTCTGGCGGCACCTACCAACGATCTGCGCATAAGCTCTGTCATCCAGGCTGCCCCCACCAACTTGCAGACCCAGCTCCACCTGACGATGGACGAGAGCACCGACTACAAGGCCATCCGCGAGAAGCTGTTGGCCTACGAGAGGGCCAGCACGCGCTGGCAACCTTCTTCCGGCTTCGCCCTCCCGGCCGTCAACACCCACGGCGCGCTCAACCAGGGCGGCCCCACCGACATGGAGATCGACCGCGTGGAGAAGGGCAAGGGCGGCCACAAAGGAGGCAAGCAAGGAGGCCAGAAAGGGAAGAAGGGAGAGAAAGGAAAAGGAAAGGGCAAGGAGAAAGGTGGCAAGGGCAAGAAGGGCGGCAAGGGCGGACCACCCGGCGGCTGTTACAACTGCGGTGGGCGGCACTACGTTCGGGACTGCAAGAACGTGAATCAGGTGAACCAGGAACAGCCCACAGCGACGCCGCCGCCACCAAGCAACACCGCCCCAACGACGCCGGCCCCAACGACAACGAGACCTACTACAACAAGCCAGCCACCATCAAATTCGGTACGGCGAGTGCGGCTGGTGACCCCTCCGGACGCAAGCACCACCTATGTCTTCGACATCTCCGACAACGACGTGGTGGCGGACTTCTACGACGACTTCCCGGCCGTGCGAGCTGTGAGTGTTCGGTCCCCACCTTCAGGAGGAACCGACCAGGAGCAGGACCCCGTGACCATTGTGCTGGACACCGGGGCAGACGCAAGCATGGTTCCGGAGGCCATGCGTGCTATGGGGGAGCCGCTGCCTGGCAACGCGGCCCCACCAAGACTTACCGACGCCCAGGCAACGACATCCCGACTGAGGAGGCCCTGCGGCGCTACGCCTTCGAGCTGCGAGACCATCGCGGCCAGAGCTTTATCATCAAGGAGACCTGCGTGGTTGGACGGGTGCGAGTGCCGCTGCTGGCGGCCGGGAAGCTGCTCAAGCAAGGCTGGCAGCTTGTCTCTGAAGAGGACCCAGGCTCTACAGGAGGAGCCGGGCCAAGAAGCATGATCCTGCGATCGCCGGCCGGCCTCCGTGCACCCGTGGCCTTCAAGCACAACTCTTTGGTCGTGCAGGGCGAGGTCCGCGCGATCACCGAGATTCCCCGGAGCCTCCCGCCAAAGGTGCCCAAAAGGCCAGGACCACGCTGTACCGCACCAGTGCGGGGTTTTGGCTCCAGGTGGATGACCAAGACGCCCAAGCCGAGGATCACGCTGATCGGCATGGACGCCTTCGAGGAGGGCTTCTTTCCAGAAGGAGGGGTGGCCCCCAAGCCAAGCGATGGTCGAGAGCCACCCACAGCCACAGGCGCTGAGGACACCGGAGCCACCACAAGAAGAACCAGCAGAACGACCCGCAGAACACCGAGGAGAACCAGCAGAACGACCCGCAGAACGCCAAGGAGAACCAGCAGAACGACCCGCAGAACGCCAAGGAGAACCAGCAGAACGACCCGGCAGCCCAGACGATGGCATGGACACAGGCGAGGCAGGGCTCGAACAACACGAGCTGGAGGATTATGTGGCGGCCAATGCAGCGCAGGCGGTGGAGGGCATAGACCGGCGAGACCCGGTACCACGAGGACAGCCAGAAGGTGCCCCGGATGATGCAGCAGTTGCCCTCCACAACCTCACGCACATGCCTTTTGCGAGTTGGTGCGAGGCCTGCGTCCGCACGAGAAGCCGCGGCGACAGGCGCAGCCAAGGTGCCAACAGAGAAGTGCGGCTCCCGATCTTGCAGGTCGACTTCTACTTTGCCTCGCTGGAGGAAGGCGGCGAGCGGCCGAACCCCGAGGGTGAGCAGGAGAACTGCATACTCATCGGCGTCGACCTGGATACCAAGATGGTCTTGGCTGTGCCCGGGCCCAACAAAGGAGCTGTTATCCTGGCCAAGGCGACCGAGGAGATCGTCCGGTTCACCCTGGCGTTGCACCATGCAGGCGGTTATCGTCCAGTCGGACGGGGAGCCCGCCATCAAGGCAGTTGTGCGGGCCGTTGCCGCAGCAAGGGCCAGACTTGGCCGAAAGACCGTGCAGCGCACCACGCCCGTCGCCGCGGAGGAGTCCAATGGAGCGGCGGAGCGCACGGTGCAGACTATCAGGCGCCTAGGCGCCTGTATGCTGCTGAGCTTTGAGCTGCAGAAGGGGAAGCTGGCGCCGGACACCCCGCTCAAGTTGTGGAGCCAGGTGCACGCAGCCTTCGTGCACAACAGGTTTCATGTGATACCGGGTCTGCAGCAGACCCCGTATGAGATCGCGTTTGGAGGGAAACGCTTCGACCAGAAGCTCTGCGAGTTCGGGGACACCGTCTACGGCCAGGTCTTCCGAACCAACAAGGCGGAACCCAGATGGGTTAAAGCGATCTGGGTGGGGATGAACCCCCGCAGCGGCGCCAACAACCTTATGACGGTCTACGGGCACATCCAGAGCGCCTCTGTTCGCCGAGCGGCGGCGGACCAGCAGCTGACGGCCGACCAGATCAAGGAGGGCGGCTACATTGGCTGTCCTTGGAACAAGGACTTTGTGGAGAAGCCGGCCCGGCGAAAGAAGCGCGAGACGAGGACAGCCGAGCCCGGGCCACCATTAAAGCCTGGAGTTTCTGTACCTATTGGAGCTCCTGCCGGGCACCCTCTTTTACCAGAGGAGGACAGTGAGGCCGAGCAGGTTGAGAAGGCAGCCCGGGACCGGGCAGACGGCGGCAGCTCAGAGGAACTGGTGCCAGCAACGCCGCCGAGATCACCGACGACACCGGCGACACCACCAGACCTGCAGTCGCCCACGGAGGCGGCAGCCAGCGGAAAGAGGAAAGCTGAGGAAGCCGAGCCGTTTACCCCCTACAGCCCGTCGTTTCCCTCATGGATGGCAAGCCTCGGAGAGCAGCCGGCCAGCCCGCCAAAGCGGAAGGCCGAGGCCGAACCATCTTCGGCCGGAGCGGTGGAAAAGCGCAAGGCGGAGGAAATGGCCCAGGGAAACCCGAGCAGCAGTGACAGCAGCGACGGCGGCGGCTCAATCAGGATGGTGGAAACTGTGGACGCTGAGTGGGCCGAGCACGGCCCAGAGATCGAGGCGGAGATTGCGGCCGACAACCAGGAGTCAACCGAGGACCCGCCAAGCCTAAGCGTCGAGGAGCTGGCGGTGCTTGACGACGCCGCCATCGAGAGGCTGGAGAAGATGACCGTTTTGGTCGACCCGGTGGCCGGGGAGGAAGCTGAGCACTTGAGCACCGTCTTCGTCAAGACTTGGAAGTACGATAAGGACCGGGGCTGGTTCAGGCGAGCGCGCTTGGTGGCGCGACAGTACAAGTGGAGCCACGTTGGCCCGGATGGTGCCGCTGCTCGCGCAGCAGTGGAACACCCCTGTGTGGGTGATGGACATCAAGGACGCGTTCCTCCAGGTGGAGCAGCCGGCTGACGAGCCCGTCCTTGTTACCTCCCCCCGGTCCTACACGGCAAAGTTCGGGCAGGCACGCCAGTGGAAGCTGGGCCGGGTGCTGCCAGGATAAAGGAAAGGATCACAAAAGTGGTTCTACCAATTGAGCGGCGACGTGGCCGAGGACCTGGAGAGCATGGAGGAGGTGCCCACACTTTTCAGGGCCAGGGCCGGGAACTACGCGGCCCAGATCCACGTCGACGACATCACCAGCACCGGGGCCCCCGAGATCCAGGAGAAGATCCAGAAGACCCTGGAGAGCAAGTACCAGGTGAAGGTCAATGGGCCCTTCCACTTGCCGGGGGACATGTATGAGTTCCTTCGGCGACGCCACCAGTTCGAGCCCGACGGCTCGATCACAATAAGGGCGGCCAAGCGGTTCTACCAGGACCTCTAGGAGCACACCAGGACCCAGCGGCAAGGAGGACATGTTCGAACTCGACAACACCAAGGCCCTCGAGAGCGGTGAGGCGACCCTCTACCGGACCATGCTGGGGAAGCTTCTCTACATGTCGGCGGAACGGCCAAGCAGCCATCCAGTACCTCTCGGGCAAGGCGTCGGCACCCACCGAACGAGCAGCCAAGCTCCTGCGGCACCTGGTGGGCTACATGTGGGAAACCCAAGGATATGGTGTGAAGCTGAAGCTCCACCCCGGCCGGTCAGTGATGAAGCTAACGGGCGACCACCAAGGAAGCCTAGAAGGCGAGGAGCACGACCACCTTATCGAGGGCTTCTCGGACAGCAACTTCGCAAATGACCGAACTACCCGGCGGAGTTTGTCATCGGGCCAGATCTTCATCGGCCAGGCCCTCGCATATTCCTTTGTCCGTGGACAAAAGGTGGTGACCTTGAGCAGCGGAGAAGCCGAACTGGTGGCGCTGACGCAAACCACCTCCGAGTGCATCTTGGTCAAGAAAGCCTGGGAGTTTTTGGTCCAGCAGGAGGCTACCCTGACCATGCGGTCCGACTCTTCCGTTGCACGGGCGATAGCCTCAAGGCTTGGTGTCGGGAGAGTGAGGCACCTACAAACCTCGTGCCTGTGGATCCAGCAATGGGTGGTGCAGCACCTCCTGAAGGTGCTGGCGGTCCCGACCGAGTTCAACCCGGCCGACCTCGGGACGAAATGCTTCACCGCGCGGCGGCTGCGACTGTTGTGCTACCTGGTTGGTTTGGTCCACGACAACGGGGAGCACGTTGGCCAGAGCGAGTTCCGGGAGGCGACGGCCAGACGAGCAGGACAAGGAGACCGCAACAACGACCTCGCTTCGCTGATCTACTTTCTCGTCGTGGTCTTGGTGCGCTACTTTTGGTTTGTGGGCTTGCTGGCCATGGCTTGGTGGCTGGGGCGGCGGTCAAGTGCGCCTTTGGATTCCAATGGGCAGCCAGCCCAGAGAGCACCCCAGCACAAGGGACGAGGAAAAGGCAAGCGAGCCGGCCGGAGAACGGCCAACAAGATGAACCAGGAGGGGACCAACAACGAGGACCAGGAGGCGACCACCAACGAGGACCAGGAGGCGAACACCAACGAGGACCAGGACGCCAACGCCAACGAGGACCAGGACGCAACCACCAACGAGGAGGCGATCTACTACGGCAGCCTGGAGGGGATCAACTTTGAACAGCCTGACGAGCCCACAGGTTCAACAGCGACTGCTGGCTTGGGGCTTGAGCCGGCTACGGGGAATCCGCCAGCAGCTATAGATCCGGAGGTGGCGCAGCGGATCCAGGACTGGATGGTGGAGAATGCGCTACCTATGCTGGGTGTTGAGGCACGGCCTTCGGGAGCCACGACCTCTGGAGCGAGTTCTTCCACTACAACCCCGACGCCACTTCCAGTTTCCTCTGCGTCCGGGAGAAGCAGCAACCACAAGATCGAGCAGGCTCGTGAGCGTGGGAAATTCCTACGAGATGCAAAGCATTTCCTTCCCGAGCAGGAGCTTGCTGAGTTGGTTTTTATCGCCTCCCACGGCTATGCTTACCACCGGGAGGGCTGTGGAGATTTATAATGTGCCCGCCGAACCACACGCGTGACGGTCAGGCGAGCAATTCAGGTTGGAAAGGTGCCCTGCAAGCACTGCTTCCAGGAGCACTGGGAGTACAGTCGAGGGCAACGGTGATTTGAGTGTAGAGCCACAGTTGCCTGCAGCTCCACAGGAGGCGTGTAAATCACCCTAGACCTCCTGTAGCCCTCTCGGAAGCCTTGCGTACAGAGCCATTGTGAAGTGTGCAGTGGCATTGCAGCTGAAACGACAAGCCCTTTCGGAGCAAAAGTGCCGAGCACGAAGTGTGCTTTTACAGGTTTGTATGACAATATGGTTCTAATTTGCCAGGCGCACAAGATATCGAAGGATCATCAATCCACTCATCTCGGCATTTCTCCTGCTGGTGATGTCCCAGGCGGTCTTCGGTTCCACATTAGATTATACAGAAATTATCATGAACATGTTTACATTGGCTCCGCACATTGCTTGCCGATGAGTTTTGAAGAAGAAGAGCCCGGCGCATGCCAGCCAAGCACAGAAAACAGCACCCAGCAGACGCATGCTTCTAGAAAGCCTAGCTAATATTATTATTTCCTGCAAAGTGTTGGGAACCTGCGGAAGACCGCATAGTTGGTGCCTCTGGGGCATACCAAAGGCTCTGAGGTCACCCATTCTAGTTTTTGGGGTTGTCACAGGCTTCAGCACATAGCTTCAAGCTGACACACCCCTTTCTTATGGACCATCTGGGACATAGCTTTAAATAGGCCATAGCAGGGAGGGCTCACAGGACTAGTTTGAAGATTTCGTGTCTGTCAGCTTTAAGATTTGAGGTGCAGAGGTGGGGTTTAGAGGGATTCGTTGCTACACCTGCAATCTGCATGTAGTGCTGCGCAGGCATGTGCAACCAGCAGCCCAAACATCCCATGAATCCTCATTAACTGGTCGTTTCATCTCAACTGCACCATCTGATGTGGGCTTCAGGTTGGCCAAAAGATATTGAAACTACATGATTGCGTCATTCAGGGAACAGGCTTGTTAAACAGCCCGGTTGACGTTCGGGGATAGCGATATGATATGTATGGAGTCTACAACACCCCAACGAGTACAGCGGGTTAAGGACGTCGGGTGTCCACTTATATCCCGGTTGTGACGATGGCTGCAGTGTCCAGGCGCGTGTCTCTGCGGCGAGAGCTGATTCCTCTCGTGGCTGAGGTGGCGGCGCAGACGGCAGCGGGTACTCTCCACTCCCTGGACGACCTGTGGACTCTGCGATTGCAGTGGGTCAAGGAACAGCCAGTGCGACCTGGGCTGGTGCAACTGGAGGACAAACTCGCCCAGCGATCCATTGCAGCTACCGCTGGTGTGCCTTGCCCTCCTCTCCTCGACGTGTTCCAGGCCCTTACCCCTGTGCCACCACCAGGGGACCCAACACATGCGCACAGTGCGCCTGGAGACGCTGTGACTGCACAGGGCCATTGCACCTCCGAGGAGTGGACGATACAGGAGCTCGCGGCTTCAATTGTACGACACTCCGAGCGTGGCAATGCTATCGTCGTCAAGCCCACACACCTCCTCGCGGGACTCGGGGTCTTCATCGTCGACCCCAGCACAGGGAAGACCAAGTGGCCGGTGCCTACTGGTCCCGGTAGTGCATTGATGAAGAAGTGGCAGGATGACTTTGACGCACAAGTTCAGACAGACACAGGGACAGAGACAGGGGCAGGGACACACGGCGGGGCAGAACGACATATTCGAGAGACCACAGCGCGCTCCATTGCGTCGTATCTTAGGCAGATGATGGACATGGCACCTGGGTCCAGCGAGGCCGCCCCCCTCCAGTGTGTGCCGCCACGTGTGATGGTGGAGGAGGCTGTCGATGTAGCGACCGAGGTGAGAGTGCTGACAGCGTTTGGAGAGTGCGTCGGATCCGCTACGGATCATTGTAAGGATCTGCCAGACCTGCAGAACTCGGTAGAAGAACGAGATGATGCTCTCACAAGTCACGTGATGGATCAAATCAAAGAGTACGCGTTGTGCATGGCCTCTGTGTGCAACTCAGATATGTTGAGGGCAGACTTCTTTGTCACGCCCAGTGGAGCTGTCCTGCTCAACGAATGTTGTGCATTCCTGTGGCCAAATGACGGTTTCTTCAGTGATAGGATCTACGCGCACACATACGCTGTCCTCCAACAAGGATATCAACAACTGTACCAACCAAAGGTTTTTTATCCTGTCATGGCGTCCACCCCGAACACTGCTGCTGCGGAGACGAGGACGGTCGCGTCCGATCCAAGAGTGTGGCGTGTTACAGAAAACTACGCTGCCAGTGACCTTGGGGACTTCCAATATCAAACACAATACGTCCACTACTATGTTGTGGTGGGAGATCACGCAGTCGCAGTTATTGACAGCGGCTGTGGGTGTGGACACCATGGCGGGGGACTGGCACAAAGATTGGGAGATCGCATGCAGTCAGGACAGGAATGCACTGTCGCCCGCTCTGTCCAGCTGGCGCTTGACTCGTATGAGGAGACAAGTGGCGAGCGCATCAAGAGGGAGGCGTTGGAGATCCTTGGAATCGCCACTCATTGGCACGATGACCACATTAGTGGGTTCGTAGAGAGTGCAGACATGAAGATAATGTGCCACACAAGCGAAGCAGGGAACCTTCGGCAAGCAGGTGTTGACTCTGAACGCCTCCAACCTGTCAAAGATGGGTATGAGATATCATTGGGAGGCATCTCGCTACGAGTCCTTCACACTCCAGGACACACCTGCGGCGCAATTAGTATTCTCTCAACAGACGGGAGGCACTTATTCACAGGCGACGCCTTACTGGCTGGTACAGACTGCGTGTCCTACGTTTCTTCCGACGATCACATGTCCGCGTCTCTCCGTCGACTACAGAAGGACGTTGCTGAACTGCAGCAGGAACACACGTGTCTCCTACACGCTGGTCATGGCGACGTTGGCATCCCTGCGTCGCCTGTTTTGTCAAAGGCTGTCGATGCCATTGAATTCATTCACAGCAACCGACTGCTAGAGCGACATGACGTGCTGTGGGATCGTGTTGGCATTCGAGGCGTGAGAGACACTCACAGCAATGATAGGACACATCTGCAAGAGGAGTGGTTCGTGGAGAGAGATGACTTCTTAGATTCCAACATTGTGCAGGCTGGTCCTTCGTTGTGTTTTGCACGACTGTCAGGAGAACGATGATGGAAAAGGGTGTGACATTGAGGCTGTCATGGTTTCGATTGCGCTTGTTTGACAGCTGCTGGGCGTAGGGTGGAGGGGCACTTAGATTAGATTTGACTTGTTCGAGGATGCCTTCTGGTAGCCAACGAACAATACTACTAGTGCCATGACCACTGCTGTTACTGTTCGATTGTTTACATAAGGAGCCCTACATCCCAGCTTAGAAGATTGGCTATGGATCTCCGGCGCTGGCCTTTTGCCCTCTCCAGGATCGCATCCTCGGCACTGGGATCGAACCCCGCGCTTGGAGGGAGGCAACTTGACACAAACGCCAAGTTGGCCGTTTGAGATGTGGACGAGACTACTACTAGTAGGACCGAGTATGGGTTCTGGTTCCCACTGTTGCAAGCCTTCGCTGCCCCTATCGCACGTTGTGCTGTAGTGGCCGCGCCCATTGACTAGTGCGTGCCACTGTGTTGCTCACGGTCGGCTGCATTGTGCAGCTTGGATTCTGCAACTCAAGCAATAGGGATTAGGGTTTCCGGTGCCCATAATGCTCTGCAGACCTCGACACAATTGAGAAGCATCTTCAGCAAAGGGACCCCTGAAAGCACAAAAAACATCCAGGCAACCCTGCAGAACTCCTTAAAGAGCCTTAAAGCAATGCTTTTCAGTACTCCAACCATCCTCTCCCCTTTCCTTGTTATGACTCGCGTCGGGTGTTGAGCAGTAACCCGAAACCCGCACCTGACCCCTGGAGCCCCCGAAACTCCATAACTCAAGTGGGCTTCTCCGAAAATAGGGGACCCAAATATAGTACCCTAAATAGTAGGATCCTTACTATAATAAGGGCCCCAGGATAAGGTACCACTAATGTTCGTAAACTCCCAAGTAGTGGAGACCCTCGATTAGAGGGTTCTGGCACATGTCTGCCGACGCCTCGGCGCCGCGTCGCACCTGCGAAGACTCCGAGCTGTCGCGAGGATGCCGCCGGAATCCGACTCGGAGACCGAGGTTGGTGAAAGGTGGGAAGACAAAGCATGCATGTGTACATAGACATAGACATCGACATAGAAAGGAAAAATGCACATACGTAAATGTTGTGTACAGTATATATATATATACAAGTGTAGATATTCGATATATGTATATATATATATATATACACACACTCAGACATACATACGCACCTACATGCGTACATAGCTACATTCATAGATCCATCCATCCATGCATGCATGCATCCATCCGTCCGCCCGTCCGCCTGCATGCCTTTGCATGCATATATATCTACATATATGAATACACATACACACAAGGTTCCAATGTATTTTGTAAACTTTTTATTGTACGGTGTGTTGTGGACAGGATGTATAGTGTTGCTATTCGTTTTGCCTCTTCTCGTTTTGATATACACAGCCCTGATGATCATGCTTCGGCACAAGTAGAATTGAAAAAGTCCTAAACCCACTGTAAAAGTACCCTGAGGCCTTCTACATGAACAGACGTCTCTGTTCAGGGAATTGCTGAGGTTTTCATCTGCCACTCGCATCCAGCCGACACCCAGCAAGGGCTGAAGGTTTTGAGTTCGAACGGTAAAGGTTTGAAGGTTTAAGGGTTTAAGGGTTCGAGGGTTTCAGGGTTTAAGGGTTCAGGGTTTAGGGAAGTAGGATCCTGAAGAGTGAGGAAGATAGACTTCCGCAGGATTCGGGCTTAGGATCTTCAGTAGGGGAACCTCAGTCGAGCAGACGCTGTTGAACCCGGAGGTCTCACACATCCAGGCGTCAGACAGGAAAGATCCTGCTGATTCTGGGCCTGGTCATGCTGGGTGTGCTGGCTTGCACGAAGACGCTGTGGAAGACAAGCGTCGCAAGCTTGCAAGGAGCTTTGGGGCGTTTCCGTGCCTGTCAGCTGCTTCGTTCACCTTCATTCTCTGCGCCGTTGTGCTCCGTTCTTCTCTTCCTTTCTTTTCTTCTGACCGTGAATGAGCGCCCAAAATCCCATGTGCTACTCTAGAGCCCCAAACCCAGCAAAGGGGGCAGTTCGATGCTATGGCCGCCCGACTCCCGAAGCCCATGATCAAGCAACATTGGTTCAATTAGGAAAGCGACTCCTTCAGAAGAGGTCCAGGATCAGTGGCTTTTGGAACCGTGCTGACTGTCCTTCCACAAGCCCCCATGCAAGCAATGCAGTTGGGTTCCGTAATCAAAATCTACCACCCTCCGCGCTGAAGCCTATACATCCTTGACCGCAGGCCCCAAGTCTTGAAACCTCGACCGTAAACCCCCGAACCTCCCAACCTCAAGCTCTTTGCGGAGGAGCATCTTCGGCCACGCTCCTGGAGGCTGTGCAACCGGGGCTCCGCAGTTTGCCCAGTGATTTGGACGCTTTTTCACCGGGCTCCATGACACGAGAGATGTTCCTGACACTGGGACGTCTTCAGGATTGGTCCATAGGTTCGTGTGTCTTACATGTATGCGTAGATGTGTATATATCTACACACGTGCACAGACACATATATATATATATATACACACACACATATACATGTACATATACATATACATATACATATACATATACATATACATATACACATACAAACACACACACAGGTATGGACAAACAAACATTTACGGCTATAGAAATATAGTACAGCATCTGCTGATTTACAGCCAAACCAGGCCAAGCCAAACTAGGCCATGCCAAGTTAAGCCATGTCAGGAACGCACTGGACTACATATCTATTTGGTGTATATATGTATATACACGCACCAATACATACCGAGCCGTGTCTATCTATATATGTGTATATACACATATGCATAAATATACATGTGCATAAAGATACGCAGAATTGAAATGTTTGAATACACATACTATATGGGTATGCTGTATGCGAACTGAAAGCCAGGGGGTGGGGGGCTTAGGTTTTAGGGCTTCGGTTGGGGAGTCTAAGGTCCTGATCTTGATTTTGCAATCCTGAGCTGCGAAGTTAGAATCTCTGGATTGCCTGCTGGCTGATCCTTCCAGCAGATGTACTCTCATAGACCCATGAAGCCAACAAACCCGTATCGCAACCTTATAGAAGCCTGTACACTTGCGTCCCAGGAATGCCGTGGCGGCCCAGATTATGCTCTTTGCGGGGTTCTCCCCCACTTCCGGGCGGTGGCTCCGAACTCCGGCTCGGAAATCCTTTTCCCAGCGGGTGGAAAGCATTCAGCCCACTTGGAAGGGAGGCCAAGTGAACTACTCTCCGGAAGCTACGGGTGCCACGGGTGGTCTGCCTTTGTTCAAGATAGCAAACTCCGGCGGCTGGGCCTTTGAGTACGGCGTTTTATGTTGATATGTCTGTCGGCTGGTTGATGATGCTTGAGGACAATGTGCCTTTGAAAGTATATTAAAACCTGACACTTAAAATCGCAACTGCTAGGCGCACGAGCACCCTGCAATATGACCCGAGAAAATACGGTTCAGGGCATGGGTTTTCGGAGTTTTGCCCAGGAGAGTAGGCCTAGGTTCAGGGGCGCCTGGAGAATGGATCCTGAGTCGAATCTTCCAATCAAAGGAAAGTAAGTCTCTGGAAATCTTGTAACGCATCATCAGACCTGTGTAGCACCCCACAAACGACATATGAAACTCTATACTGGTGATCAAACGGCCAGAACTCCCAAAATATATCGAAATATAAAAAAATACATACATCAAGATACTCAGAAAAATTATCATTATTAGAAACGTGATCCTGCATATCAGGCTCTGTTTTGAGGGTCTCACGTTCAGGATCCTCTGCTTCGGGTTCCATGGACTTTTTTGGGGGGTTTTAGGGGGTTGAAACTCAGGTTTTCTGTTTCGGGCTGCGGGGTTCTGGAGGTTGCTTGGAGGGGAGGAGTTTGAAGGGCTCTAGAGGGGATCCGACTTGGCGTTATGCCCTCTCAAAGGACCGCTTGCAGAAGCCGGTACAGCTACTGTTCCACGCAACTCTGTTACAGATGTGCTGGTACTTGAGGGTTTGGGGTTCCCTCCCCACGGCCCCCATCCTCTCTCCTCCCCTCTTCTGGAAGAGGCGCGGCTGGGAACGTGGATGCCCTGCCTCATATACAGCCTAAACCCTAGATGGTGACCTTCGCTCGGAAGAGACATTGAGGCCAAACGGCACTGAACGCTGGCTCCACAGTGGAGTCCATGTTGGCGTCCCTCGTTGCCCGGGGCCTCCGCGACGAGGATTTGGACAGCGATGCGTGGCAGGCCCTTTGTTCATGGACAAGCCCAGAACCAGAGCCCTTAAACCCGAAGCCCCTGAGCCCTAAACCCGGGCCTAAACCCGAAAGCTAACCCCCCTAAAACACTGAAACGTAAGTTAGAGTTTAGAAGAGGAACACCTAGCCTAACCGTGGTTCTAAGTAAGTCAAGTAAGTTAGTTGTGTCAAGTGATGTTATGCACTACCAAACTGTCCTGCGCTACCTTCAGCGGGCATGCGTCTATTCGTCGATCCTTGCCTTTCCGGCTTGACAGCCCTCGCGGGAGTGGATGCCTGTAACTGACGCCGTAACGATCAGGTGCACCAGAGCAACAGTTTTTCCGGTATCAGCCTGACTTGAAGCCTGAACCCCCGATCCCGGAAAGGTAAATCTCAGATCCCGAAGGCTTGAGCGAAGAAAAACAGGGCATTTCGTGCGTGTGGAGCATGTCCATTACAGTGGAAGTTTCACTGCTCAGTGGCAAGAGAGCTATTGTTCAAGCGGGCCAGAACGAAACGGTGAAGACGTTGACAAAACGGGCGCAGATCGCCCTCGGAGTCGGGAAAGGGCGGCTGCTGGACTCCGCTGGACGCGTTCTGGATGCCTGTATGCTGATCAGTACTGTCAGGGTTCAGAACGGAGATACGCTGACGTTTCACATAAACAGTGTCCAGATTCAAGCCTCTTCTGGTGCTTTTGCTGCCATTCTTGGCGACGGATCCGTTGTGACCTGGGGTCCTGCTGCCTGTGGTGGCGACAGCAGTGCTGTCCAGGCTCAGTTGAAGAACGTGCAGCAGATCCAGGCCTCTGCCAGCGCTTTTGCGGCCATTCGTGGCGATGGATCGGTCGTGACCTGGGGTCATGCATTCTCTGGTGGCGACAGCAGTGCTGTGCAGGGTGAGCTGAAAAATGTGCAGCAGATCCAGGCTGTTGGCGGCGCCTTTGCTGCCATTCTTGGCTGCGGGTCGGTTGTGACCTGGGGTCCTGCCTATGGTGGTGACAGCAGTGCGGTGCAGGCTCAGCTGAAGAATGTGCAGCAGATCCAGGCCTCTGCCAGCGCTTTTGCTGCTATTCTTGGTGACGGATCCGTTGTGACCTGGGGTCATGCTGACCGAGGTGGCGACTGCAGCGCTGTGCAGGGTCGGCTAAAGAATGTGCAGCAGATCCAGGCCTCTGCCAGCGCTTTTGCTGCCATTCTTGGCGATGGATCTGTGGTGACCTGGGGTGATGCTGACTGTGGTGGCGACAGCAGTGCTGTGCAGGGTCAGCTGAAGAATGTGCAGCAAATCCAAACCTCTCACCGTGCTTTTGCTGCCATTCTTGGCGATGGATCTGTGGTGACCTGGGGTGATGCTGACTGTGGTGGCGATAGCAGTGCTGTGCAGGGGCAGCTGAAGAATGTGCAGCAGATCCAAGCCCGTGGCGGCGCTTTTGCTGCCATTCTCGGTAATGGAGCTGTCGTCACCTGGGGTCTTGACTGTGGTGGCGACAGCAGTGCTGTGCAGGGTCAGCTGAAGACTGTGACTGTGCAGCAGATCCAAGCCCGTGGCGGCGCTTTTGCTGCCATTCTCGGTGACGGATCCGTTGTGACATGGGGTCTGGCTCGCTTTGGCGGCGACTGCAGCGCTGTGCAGGGTCGGCTGAAGAATGTGCAGCAAATCCCAGCCTCTCACCGCGCTTTTGCTGCCATTCTCGGTGGCGGATCCGTTGTGACATGGGGTCTGGCTCGCTTTGGCGGCGACTGCAGTGCTGTGCAGGGTCAGCTGAAGAATGTGCAGCAAATCCAAACCTCTCACCGTGCTTTTGCTGCCATTCTTGGCGATGGATCTGTGGTGACCTGGGGTGATGCTGACTCCGGAGGCGACAGCAGTGCTGTTGAAGGTCAGCTGAAGGCTGTGCAGCAAATCCAAGCAATTGGCGGCGCTTTTGCTGCCATTCGTGGTGACGGATCGGTTGTGACCTGGGGTGATCCGACCCGTGGGGGAAACAGTCGTGCTGTGCAGGAACAGCTGAAGAGTCTTAGCAGCCCTGCTTGAACATCTCGGGAAAGGCAAAAAGCGTTTCGCAGCCACCGTGCTTCAAGGGTCAAGGGTGTAGGCGGTGTAGGGTGCAGAAAGGTGATTTGAAGGGCTGTTGTAGTTCCATGTTGCCCACAGCATGTCTTTGAGTGATTCTGGAGCTCCAGTCACCCCAAACCTTGAAGGAGGAGTAGTACTGTGTAGATCTGAGCGCTTGAACGCCGTCTGAACCCAATCCAGGTCCAACGGTCTTGCCCCGAACCCCAAGCCCAAGGCACTTCCTCAGTGTCGAACCGAGCTCACCAACTACATAGTATATACCTGAGCTCGTAAGTTTTTGGGGTCTAAGCCGAACGTTGCTACCCCGATCATCGACAGTTTACCCTCTCGCCCAGATCCCCAACCCCAAAAAGACCCTACAAAGCCTAAACCCTTAGAATCTGGAAGCCCTTCAACGACCCCTGGAGTCTTTGCCACTTTAGACCCGGATGAGGCCCTCCGTGCAATGCTGAGCTGGCGCCTACCCGCCACCGCGCCGCCCCCTCTGCCTTCTGCTTTGCTCGCTTTCTCCTTCGATGCGACGCCGCAGTGCCACAGTCTGCAGGAGACCGGAGAGAGTTGAAAGCCTGAAGTAGAGGGTTAGGGTTGAGTTGAGGGTTTAGCACCCTCTTTTTTTATTAAAATAGGGTGTAGGCTTTGGATTTGCGGGTTAGGGAACAAAGATCGACAACGCCAAGTTGAGCGCTTTCAGTTCATCGTGCCAGGGCCGACACACCCTGATGCCTGAAGAATTCATCCTGATCTCTGCAGGTAGTTTCCCTGTCACGATACCTGATGTCACTGACCTGACCTGCATTGAACCCTAAACCCTAAACCCGAACCCCGAACCGTAAACCCCAAACCTTGAGCCCTTAATTCCATAAGCCTGCACATCCTGGAGTCTCCTCCGATTGCCCCTCGTCCGAAGATGCGCCTCATAGATAGTAAAGACTTAGTGGAATCCCTGACTTATTTAGGGTTGCTGGATGGAATGTAAGCCCCACAAACCTACACCCTGAAGCCCGAAACTTGCGCCAGAGATCTCTTCAAGCGTTCTGCGCCTTAAATCCTCCCTCATTCACAAACTCCAAAGCCGTGGAGCCTCAAAGTCCCAAGCCCCATGAATCCTTAAGGTTTAACGTAGGGACCTGGTTAATGAAACCTGGGCCTATAACCCCAAAATAGTAGGGTTCAGGTAAAGAACTTTAATGCAGGCCCAAGGTGTCTTAATGAGGTTCCTACAGTAGGGCTTTAGGGTTTAGGGTTCCCAGAGACTCCAATATCCCTTAATTAAGGAATATTCCTTAAATCATATTCGGGATCCTACTATAATTTAAGGAATATTCCTTAATTGAGGGATATTGGAGTCCCTGGGTTTGGATCAGGATTGCCACCTTCCTGGCCCCAGCAACGAGCTCCTCGCTGCCACGGTGGAGCATGTCTGGAACACCTCGGAGCGTGTTGAGGTACCCTCTGACCGCAACTCTAAACTCCCTAAGCCCTGAATCCTGAACCCCGAGACCTTAGATCCTAAACCCTAAAACTAAACCCCAAGCTCAAGACCCGAACTCTCGAAGCCTTTGCCCTGAACCCTGTCCCAGTCACATGGGTCACTTGAGGAACCCAGAAGAGCCAGAAGCCCTGGCTGCAGCCCTCACCCTTATCCACCCTACCAGAGACCAGGGTGCTTTTCAATCCCATATGGGGGTCTATATTAAAAACCTCCGAGAAACCGGTTCTGGTATTTTGGGGGTTCCTAATGAAAACTAATAATAGTATAATGGGCACCAAAAGCCTATTCTATTGATTAAGGCCCCTATATTAGCTTAAGGTAAGCACCTAAGCTACCACACGCCTGAGCTACCAGAGCCTCCGGGTCTGGTCTCGTTCGATGCTCAGCGCTTCTTGTGGCGCACTAAGGCCCCGCGTTTGCAGGCTTTGGGTTTGGGTTTTCGGTTTGGGTAACAACCAATCCGGAGATCATACCAACAACCCTAAACCCCCGCACACCTTCACTGCATCTCAACCTCAAAACGCCCTGAACCCAGAGAGCCCTCAATCCCAGTCAGTTCCTTTCAGCGGAGGTCTATGCCCAATGGGAGATCGCGGCCGCGCTTCTGCAATCCGGGCGGATACCTCCAGGCATGCAAAAACACAGGTCTTCCCCAAGGCGTTCCATAAGGATCCTGTGTTTGCAAAGATAGATCCCTGGGGCTTGTGGGTTTTTGTGGGTTTCGGAATAGTGTTCAGGGCCCAAGAGTAAGAGTGTCGCTGTCACGCGGGGCCTCTAAGTGCCGAAAGCCTCCTTATTGAACCATAAACGGTTTAGGGTTTGGGGTTTAGGGTTTAGGGTTATCAGCCTTCAAAGGGGTTTGAGGCTATGGCATAGCTATGAAGGTGAGGTGAGCATCGTCGCGTTTGTCTTGATCAACGCTTCGGGGAGTCCGATGTCATATAGCCTGAACTGAAGAGCATAACTTTCTTTGCAAGCTAAAAGAAGATTCAAGAAAGAAGTTTTCAGTGCGAGTATCTTCAAGACTTCCAGGCCTGAATGTAGGAAGTTACTCTATCCCCTTCGATTTGGATCCTGAACATCCTAAACCCTAAAGCCTGAACCCCAAACCCTAAACCCCAAATATTCCGGACGCATGTTTCTCGATGCAGCCTTTTTGGGGCTCCAAGCCGAGGCCCCAACTCCAAAAGCCACCCCGAAAAAAGATGCTCAACCCCAACCGCAAGACGCAAAATCCCAGCCTGAAACTTACCTTTGGTTAGTAGGGAGGGGCCTCATAAAGGGGTCTATAAGGGTTACTATAAGGGATCTACAAGGGTACTATAATATAGGGGCCTTAATAATCCTATAACTTACCTATGGTTAGTAGGGAATGGAGGAGTGGGGTACAGTTATAACTACTATTACTACCATTCTTCCATTCCCTACTAACCAAAGGTAAGTTATAGGATTATTGAGGCCCCTATATTATAGTACCCTTATAGATCCCTTATAGTAACCCGTATAGACCCCTTTATTAGGCCCCTTCCATTCCCTACTAACCAAAGGTAACTCCTCAGCCCGAGACCCCAAAGCCAAAAGCTCCACATCCCACAGCTTACGCCCTCAAAACAGGTCGAATTCATCCTGCCGGCGTGCCGGGGCGCTACATGAACACTGTGCAGATCCTCGAGGTGGGGGGTTTTCTCCGCAGATCCGCAAACTTCGTCTTAAGGAACCAAGTCTGCAATCCTTAACCCGCAACCCGTCGTAGCCCCTCCTTCAACCCAAACCCCTAAACCCTGACCCCACACCCCGAACTCCTTAAACCCTAAACCCGAACCCGAAAGCCTTTGTTTGGACTTTGCCGTGAATCTTCAACCTAACTTGGCGGAACCTTCGTCCTGCAACGCCGACATATGCATTTCTTCAGGCTAGAGCTCTTTTCTTTAGAGTTCCCGCCCCTCATGTTGCGAAACTTTCAGGCTGCAACAAAGCGGGCAGCGCAGTGTCTCTAAATGGATCCATCCTCGAACGAAGGGTTCAACAGGTTCGCATGAACATGATCTGCATTGGGGGAAACCTTTCTGTGCCAAACTCTGGGACTGTAGACATACGCCCCACACCCACAGGCTTATGGTCGACACCTACGCAGCCCTAAACCCTAAACCCTCAAGAAACTTCAACCCTGAACCCACAAAGCCTGAGCAGGGGAAGGCCAAAGTCTCAATTATAGGGGATAGACCCAAGTCCAGCTGCGCATAAATTCGAGTTCACCTGTCATCCGGATCTGCCTCCATAACCTGAACCTTGAATTCCAGACCCTGAGCTTGACCTTGCGACTTGCCATCGGCTCAATTATAACTGAAGACTTTCATCCTAAACTCTAAACCTCCAACCCTAAGCCTTTCGCCCTAAACGGCCGAAGCCTTCAATCCCAAATCCTAGACCTTTAGCACGAAGCCCCCAAACCCTAAAGCAACATTCTGAACCTTAAACCCGAGACCCGAAATCTTTACTCTGGGACCACTAAACCCTGAACCCTAAATCCCTAAACCCCTAAACCCCTAAACCCTAAATCCTAAACCCTAAATCCTAAGCCCCAAAACTTAAACCCTAAACCTATAGGAGTTCAGCCATGGCAGTAAAGGGCCGAAAATTGCAGCGACAGCGACTGGCGGTGGTGGCTGCGGCACTTTGTGCCATGCTCCTGTCAGACCGTGATCGCCATACGGTAACGATTGACAGGAGGGGCTTCGGGTTCGGGGCTTCCCAGAGACTCCAATATCCCTTAATTAAGGAATATACCTTAAATTATAGTAGGATCCCTAATATGATTTAAGGAAAATTCCTTAATTCAGGGATATTGGAGTCTCTTAGATGTTTAGGGTAAGGGTTTAGATGTCGGGCTGCAGGGGTTTGGGTTTAGGGCGGGGGGGTGCAACAAAGGGTTCTACAGGGGTTCTAGACTATAAGCACCATAAAAACACTCCGTAGCTAGGTGTTAGGTCGAGTTGGAAGTGATTAGTTTAGAAGGCTTCTGTAAAAGGGTTTAGGGTTTAGGGTTCAGGGTTCAGGGTTTAGGGTTTAGGGTTTAGGGTTTAGGGTTTTATGAGGGGCTTGAACAATCACCAGCACTTCAAAGGTTCATGGGAAATGGTGCAGGGCACGTGATTTATGGTCCGGTTATGGTGCCTTGGTCTTGGGTTGACTTATGGTTCTACCGTGCGCAGTGGCCAAGAAGTGCAGATCATGTCATGGCTCTTCGACCGCAAAGCCTACACCCTAACCCCTAACCACTAAACCCGAGGCCCTATAAACCCCAAACCTTAAACTCCAAATCCTAAACCCTAAACCCGTAACCACTAAACCCTAAAGGCCCTAAACCCTAAACGCCAAATCCTAAATCCAAAGGCCCTAAGCCCTGGGTCATGGCCCTTTTTAGGACCTTCATGGTGGCGAACTACGTGGGCGATGCCAGCTTCGCCTTCACGGGGAGCCTGGCAGCCGGTCTGGCGGGCATGGATCTGCTGGGCTGCAACTTGCTGGGCTGTTAAGAAACTTTACGGTAGAAGCCAGAAAGTTGGAACATCATTGTCCTCATGCCCTTAAAGTAAAGTATAAGGGATCCTAGCACCAATCCTCCTAAATCCATGTTCCAACTTTCTGGCTTCTACTGTGGTTTGAGTTACCATAATACTGGGATACATGTTAAGGAGTTTAATCCAAGTTACCGTAATGGGATATATAGTCAAACACTAGGTTTTATAGCTTAATATAAATTGCCATAGTAAATAAGAGGGTTTCCTTATTATAAGAACTTAGTTTAAGTTCCTTAACAGCAACCCAGGCTGCGAACGGACTGCGATGCCTAGTCAAGTTCTATGGTGTCACGATAAGAGCTGTGAGCAAGGTGATGTATAGGACAAGAGAGAAGGCACGCTACGCGTCCTTCGTCTCTAGGTTGAGGCTTGTGGAAGTGCTACGCACACCGCAATGCCAAACCTTCCTGTATGCTTTCCGCCCACGCAACTTTGGCTCAAGTATGAGCACATGCTCTAGAAAGCATTGCCCATAGCTAAAAGCTATTCGTGTTCTGTGACCTTCCGAGGGACAGAGCCATCCCGTGCACAGACGATCCATCGCTGGCCGCGAGAGTGCAAAACAAGCAAGCTCTGGATCTGCCTGCAAGGGAAGCGTGGCTTGTGTGAGAGAAGGGGAAAGAGAGAGTGATCGAGTTCGTAGAGGGCAACCACGCCATTATTCAACATAGCTCTGTGGGGTGAGCAACAAGGGCAACATCAAGATCAAATCCCCACGCAGGTTATCAGCCGTACGCGGCTCTGCCTTTCTACAACGAGAACTACTTGATCTACCACTTCCACAATGAACTCGGGATCAAGTCAGGATACGACAATGACTTTCGGTGCCGACGTGGCAGCGCCGGCAGTCGGTGACTCGACTGCAGATGACACTGTGGTGCAATCCGTTGATAGCTCCACAGAGGATGACAAAGGTCAACCCTCAGCGCTTGCCATCGCAAAGGCAGTTCCCAAAGCAAAAGCAAAGAACTCACCAAGAGCATCTACGCCATTGCGTCCAACATCCTCAGGATCAAGGACTGGCAAAGGTACAGAACGACGATCCGAAGCGTCTGGTTTTCAGGTGCCAAGGACTCCGTCGAGAACAAAGGACAGAGGAGTAATAACAATGGAGAAAAAGTCTAAGCCAGCATCTTCAAGAAGCTCTTCAGCACGATCTAGGACTTCAGCTACCAGAGGGCGGGACAGATCCATGACATGGAGGAAGATGGTTACCAACCATCCCCATGAGGCTGACGATGCGGACATGACCCTTGATACCATACCGGTGCAAGGTGACGCTTCATCGGCTGCCACCCCGGCCATAGCCGATGGTTCGATTGTCTATCAGGAGATGCGACAACAGCTTGAAGCTTCGAATCTTGCTCAGCAGATGTACTACAGAAGCCAAGTGCAAGAGTACGAGGGTGTCGTGAAAACCCTGATGGAGAAGATCAAGGAGATGCAACAAGAAGATGAAGGATCTGGACTTCGCATTGAAGAATTGGAACGACAACGTGATCACGCATGCATGGCCATGCGGCACATCAACAATGTCAATCTGGAGATGAAACGAGACTATGAAGAAGCGTTGTTCCGAATGGATGAACAGAGCTCTGCCCAACAGCGTCGAGGACACGCAGTTGCCGAAGAACTTGCTCAACAGCTTCACATGTTTCGAACAGAAGCAGCCACAAACTTTGTGCAGCTGGAAAGTCGAGCTCAAGGCGACGGAGAACTCATGGCACGCGAGTATGAGCATCTGACACATGAGCTTCATGAGCAAGCCAGAGAGAACTTATTCCTCCGATCAAGCACGGCAAGTTCCGAACAAGCCATGCAGGCCATGCAGGAACGATTCCTTCTAGCCAGGAACCAGGAGTTGCGAGTTATGAATGACGTTCAAGGATTGGCTGGAAACAACACAGCACTTGACCAAGAACGTCTTCGACTACGCGAACAGCTTGGTGAAGAAGAAGAGTATCGCAAAATGGCGGTGAAGAGGATGCAAGATGCAGAAGATCAGCTTCAACAGAATGAAGATCAAGCGAGGCAGGCATTGCCGACCTTGCACGACGAGCTGAACGAGCTCAGACGAGCGCTCAAAACTCAGGAAGATCTTCAGTCAAGGACACGCAGCGAGCTGGAGGCGGCACGGATTTCCAACTTGAGTGCTGGATCAGCTCGACCTCCGAGCATGCCCATGTCTTCAAGGACTACTGAGTCTGGCTGGGAACATGTAGGAAAGGATGTAGTACCGGCATTTTCCTTAGGAGGCGAGGTACGATCCCTGAAATGCATTCTCCTAGTCAGGTTAGCCCAGTCGCCAGAGGAAAGTTCGCATTCTCCGAATCGAACAAGGACAAGAACCTCGTCACGAACGATGGGAAGTTCACGGGTGGAAACTATTTCACTGGCAACTTGAAGGGAAAGGTCGATCCGTCTCATAGAACAACACCCGTTGTAGCGGATTCGGTACCCGTGCACAACGTGCCTTGTACCAACAATCCAGCACTTGAGCGTTCCGCGCCGAGTGCAGCCGAACTCTTTGGCATTCCGGCTACGCCGAGTGCCGCTGAGATGTTCGGCATCCCAGCTACACCAAGCGCAGCCGAGTTATTCGGTATTCCAGACGGACGTAACCGAGGGCGAAATGATGCGACAGCCGTGCGCGATCGACAACTTCATGAACTTCTGAAAGATCGCGGGATGCTGGGGTCGAATCCCACGGCATCTGCCAGCTCTTCCAGACCTGTTGACCTCGACGGTATGATTGCATCGATAAAAGGCCTGAGTCCCAACATTGCCAAAGGGCCAACACCTGTGGCTATATCGACACATCTATTCAAGATGCGAGGAGGCGTCAGATCGAGAAGGAGGTTGCAGAGCAGTATGAGGAGAAGATAGCTGAACTGCAATGCGAGGCCATCAAAGCTCAGAAAGCCGAGCAACGTCTCCGTGCTGACCGTGACGAGTGGAAACTGGTCGCCGAAGCAATGCAAGAAGGCGAGGAAGAAGGTGACGCATGTGAAGATGGAGGGCAGGAGGGGGAAGCCGATGAAGGGATTGACCCACCAGATCCGCCTGATCCGGATGATGATGATGACAAGAAG